AAATCGTATTCTTTCATTTATTTGATTATTGTTTTTTTCGTAACAGCTATTTTCATTGGAGTATGACAGGTGAGGGTATGCCTCCCCTGAGCGCACGTGCCAGTGATTAATATAATCACTAACAAATCAGTTTTTTTAACAAGAGAATGCAACATCAAAACACGTATTGTACATTTTATATTTCTCTATTTTTTCTTTAGAAAATCGGGGGATAGCGCGAACGCAGTCCCCCAGTACCACAAATTTTACAGTCGAGTTTCCCGCATTTGGGGAAATCGCAGGGGTCAACCCACCCGCAGTGCAATGGATGAGCCTCGCCCTGGGAGGACCACCTAAGTGATCATGGTGCCTCCCCTGTCAGGTAAGTATGAGTTGGGCTGCTCCCACTATCCCTATATGACTCAGAATCCTGCACCTTTACGCTATGGGCGCCTTTGAAGCTTTTACGTCTATACTTAAAAGTAAAAAATATATAAAAACACCGTCGTTTAAAAACCAAAAATAATACGTTAGGTAAAAAAACGCTTAATTGGAAAGTTAACATTTCGATAAGCTAAAGCATAATTTACGGAAAAAATTCCACAATAGCATTCTGGGTAATGTTGACTCAGCAGCAGTTGCCATATTAGAGGTTTCAACCCTCAGCTCCGGGAGTAATTGCAAACGTTTAAGCTAACATACTACGACCGAGGCTAGACTTTACTATTGATGCCATGGTATCATTTAGTTGTTCTTATTTACCACACTAGAGTAAGGGCATCATAAACTGATAGTACTCATAGCCAGCCACAGGGGACATTCAGGCTTGGCACTGAACTCACATGTCCGCCACGGTCACGAGGGCTTTTCGTGTGGCCACGTCGCCTCGTCAGATAAGTCGAGCAGCTACGAGCTGAACAGCAGAGGGCAGTGCATCACGGTTGTTGTCCAACCGTTATGCACTTCAAATGTCTCTCACAATGGTTGTAGCTCCATAAAGAGTTTAAAAGAAAAATATTGCTCAGCTTTACGCAAACCAACAAAAACTGAGAAGCCTTTTATACTGGTAGGAACGAAGTGGACCAGACCACCAATAGATTAATGTGTCCGTCCGTCCGTCCGTCCCTCCGTGTATCAACATCGCCCCCTACTGCAAACACTTGGCATGACTCTACAAAAACCTTTAGACTCAGTGACGCTTTCCTGGTAGCAACATCGCCCCCTACTGCAAACACTTGGCATGACACGTGTAACATTCCCTTATTCCCTGAGATAGCTTTTGATTAAAACCGTGAAATTAAATAAAGTGCGCGCGTTTCGTTAACATTAACGTGAGTAGCCGCGTGTAAGAGTTACATTTTAACGAGACGCGCGCAACTATAATGTTACTGAGGCCTAGTCCGTTAGCGCCTCGTATACAGCCTTAGGCTTTTGCGTGGCAAGGTATATTAAGCGTTTATATTAATATGTTTATAAAAAATTAATTGCACTTTCAACATTAACGCGAGTAGCCGCGTGTAAAGTTACATTTTAACGACAGGCGCGCGCTATAATCAGTAGTTTATAAACTGTATTAGTCACTTTAAAGTTACTAGTCATTCAGCGCCTCGTATACAGCCTTAGGCCTTTCCCGCATTAGGGGAAATCGCAGGGGTCAACCCACCCGCAGTGCAATGGGTGAGCCTCGCCCTGGGAGGACCACCTAAGTGATCATGGTGCCTCCCCTGTCAGGTAAGTATAAGTTGGGTTGCTCCCACTATCCCTATATGACCCAAAAGCCTGTACCTCTACTCTATGGGCTCTGAATATAAATGTCGTGCAATGTCATATTCTACTTGAATTAGCAATAACAGTTAAAATGCCTCTTGATAACAAAAGCAAGTTATGTTTCAAAGCGATTTAACCCGCACAGTTGCGAGGTTTTACACCATAAACATTGAACGGAAGCCCCAGACGCATTCTGGGAAATGCAAATCGCATAACGCGCCTTCATCGTACTTCTGCTTTTACTTAAAGTTCCGTAAGTTTATTTGTTTTTATTTGTTGAAGCTACGAGGTTTTTGAATTTAGGATCGTTTTTTTTTAAATCCTTTATATTAAGTTCACTTGCTTGCTTGCGCGCTTACGACCGTGCAAATCTTTCGGTCGTTTTTTAACCCACTTCCCGTGATCCAATCGAGCTGCATTTTGCACACAGACTCGTTGTGCGTGACAATTAATTTTCGTGAAAATTTTTTTCCAAAATTTTCCACTTTTTAGGAAAAAAATAATTTCATATTTTATTTAAAATACCAATGTGATAAAAATGAAACTCTTACTCAAGATAAACAGAAATGAATAATAAAATAAAACCGATGCCACGCATATAAAGGATTTATAGTGAAAAACTTTGTTTTTACGGGTTAAATTTTTGCTTGTTTGTTAGGATTGTTACGCGCCGTACTGTTGATTCACTTTTGCGGAAACGTGCTTCGGGGCCGTCCATAAATGACGTCACGCACCTAGGGGGGTGGGGGGTAAGACATTTGTGACGATGTGTGACCAGGGGGGTGGTTTGAGAAATGTGACGTCACATAAAAATGCGCAACTTTAAAAAAAAATAGACAACACGTTCTACTTAATTAGACTTTTTAGTATTTTTTTTCTCCTACAACATCAGAGTGCAGCGGCACATTAAATACGCACTACAATGACAATAGTTTAAAGCGATTTGAAGCATGTTTTATTTTTTTTGGGGCGAGGGGGGGGGGGCAGAGCTTTGTGACGTCATATTTGAGGGGGGGGGGGTCTGACTTTTTGTGACGATGGGGGAGGGGGGGGGGTCAAAAATCGTCGTCGAGTTGCATTTGGCTTTGCGGCTGCCGGACAAATCCATTGAAAGGTCGCGCGCTCCTTGCACGCGAGATGATTGGACACAAATGAGCCACTCAATGACCTCGCTGACCTCGTCGAGGAAAGATAAACCATCCCGGTCATCCTCGCAGAAGCAGCAGCAGCAGCGGCGGCTTTTTGACTCACCATCGAAGAGCAGAGACGGTGCCACTGAATCGCGCTCCTTTCAAATGCGCTTCTGCACCCGTCTGGAACGCTCTTCCCGATCTTAGGCAGCCACTGGAGCTGTATTTTTTAAAATTTAAACTGAAAACAAATTTATTTAGAACTGTTTTTTCACACGCTTTCATTTAACTCACTCTAGATGTGAAGCTTTCGTGACTGCAAGGATTCATACTCTTAGATTTTTTTCGGTAAAGTCACGTAAGTAAAGAAATTAAATTAAAATTAAAGTGGTTATTTTAATTTATTATTTTTTTTTTAAAATTTTTTTACCTACGTGACTTGACCGAAAAAACTTAAGAGTATTTAACTCACTCTGTTGTTGTAACCTCAAATCTTGGAACTCAATTTTATCCCACTTCCTAATGTGGTATCGATTGATAACTTGGTATACTTATGTCATACTGATGACAATACTATATTCTATCAAAAAAAATGAAAAATATATATTTTTAAACAATATTTTTTATATGTTATGTTTCGACTTGGGTCTAATTATCCACAGTCAATTGACGTTGGCTGTAATTGACCACGGCCACTTACGTTATGGGAAGCTTCGGGGCCACTTCCTGGAGTCGTGGAGTTCTGCCATTACTAGCACGGTACATTTAATAAAAGCGTGTTTAAAAAAAGTAAAAAAATATATTACTTATTTAAAATGTAAACTGAAAACAAATTTATTTAGAACTTTTTTGTGTTTACTTTGTTGTCCTTCCCTCCGCATCTCCGATTGGCACGGTTGGCTACGTACGGTGTGAAAGAAGTTCAACATACGGTGGGTGCACTTTGTTGTTGGGGATTAGGGATTCCTTACACTAAGCAAATGTAATTGCGGTGTTTTTTTGCAGCCGAGCGTCGTCTCCGAATATTGTCCGGGATGAGCGTCGGAAAGATGGTGAGTGGATGCAGCGGAATAGAAGGGGGTTGGGGGACGGGACATTACACCTCTCACGATGTTCTATAATGTGTAGTGAGCATCTAAACTGGTCCTGGGATTCCCGTTCTCCACATGGCATTGACCAGCATGGCGTTTGGTCAGACAACCACCACAGCTGTCACGGGGGCCCTTCTTCCGGCAGTCGATGGACAAGGGGGCTTCGAATGATTAGTTATACTTTAGTTACAATTGTCTTTGAGCTCCAAATGATGCTTTTTGTACTCCCAAGCACGGATATTTTCATTGTGTGCACTTTTCAGTTTGTATTCTTGGCCAGTGTCTTGTTCTGATCTTGGTTATAGCTGGAAGTATATACTCGTGTACGGTATAATTTTTGGTAAAATCTTGGCTTAAAGCTTTCGTGACTGCAGGAATTCATATTGAATTCATATTGCATATAGAATCAGTGTTTTTTTTTAATGCATTCTGACCACAATCATTGTGGTTAATGCAGACATGATTCCTTGTACAAAGGTTTCAGTTTGGTGTTTTAACATCTTAACACCTGTTTTGTTGCCAGAAAAATGGTAAAAACCTATTATTGGAATTAATATTCTTTGGGTCTTTTGGTAAAGTCACGTAGTAGATAGGTTCAAAGAGAATTACAAAAAAAACTACGTTTCGATGATGACTGCTTGTGTTGCGATCGAAACGTCGTAGTTTTGTCATTTTCTTTGAACCTATCTACGTGACTTTACCGAAAGCCCCAAAAAATATTGTTGGTAAAGTCCAAATTTCTCCAAACTCAAATGAATAATGAGGTACTGTAGTGTCCCTGCACCATTATAACTCATCAACCAGTGAGGAAAATGTCACATTCCCACGGTCGGGTTATCGTTTCACAGATCCTCCGACTACAGGATGTTTTTACAAAGTGGTAGTTCTTTCACCAGCCCCAGGAGGATGGGGGCGAGTCAACCATAGACCACGATTTTAACTTGCAACCTCAAATTGAGTTGAAGGTAACCATCAATCGCCATGGGAAGTCACCCCCCCTTGGCCACAGACACAAAACAAGCTTCCCAACACATTTACCATTACCATCATTTTTATTTAGGGTCAAAGCCCAAGTGGTCCCCACATGGTTGTTACAGGAAAATAATCTCCCCAAAGGTCGCCACACTCCATGTTATCACTAAATGACCACACATGGACATCAGGACCAGCAATTTGTCAAAACAGGTTCCCCGCTGTGGCATAAGCGATGGTGGTTATGGCCCGAAAACAAATTAAACAAAGAGAATCACACTGCTTGCCCTGGGCTAATGTAAATGGAACAAGAGTGTATATAACAAAAATTATAAAAACGGACTACAAAACCGTTTAATTTGTCTCAATAAGGCAACCACATAACAAGGCATCTCAATAGCGGCAAGGTGAGGTGTCCTTTGCATCATTAACAAGTGCAACAAGGTCACAGGATATATGGGAAGGAAGGCACTTATACAATTATAGACTGCGCACTTATATTATAAAGGGCCGCATTTTAAGTAGGCTTGTGTGTTCTTTTCAGAGCACAATACGAAACCCCGTTTGTATTACCTTGCATATGAGAAAGCGATATTGTTTAATGGACTATTATTTAATGATTGCTGCTCATAAAATATGGATATGCATAGCAGCAAAATAATAAAAGAAAACTAATGATGTGGTGGATGCTTACTGAAAATAACTCAAATAAAACTAATGTAAAATAAAAAAAGGCGACTTCAGACATTTGGACATTGTGGAGAGTAATATTAATGGTGTCGATAGTCCAAGACTAAATGGCTGCATTTAACAATGTTTAATATGACATGATTGGTTATTTGCTAATTGTCGATAATTTCCATTGCCCTGGTGACAAGCACCCCCATTACTTAATGACAACCATAAATCTATTTACCAATACCAAAGCAAAACATGAACAAACAGATAAAAAAACTAATTCTAGAATTCATACATAGATGTAAATGTATGTTATTGAAACAATAACTTTAGGAATGTTATTGTGTTAATGATTCATTGGAATTGGCGCATGATGTTTGAAGATAAAAACAAGAATGCTCTCGATCCTCACTTGAACTCATGACATCACATATCAAAGGTTGGGTTGGTGGTTGAGTTTGGTCACAATTGCATCATTTTGTGTAACGACTACAAATATCAATGACAATAACAAATGACCACAGTCCAAATAAATCCATATCCACATTTCCTACAAAGAATATCTGATTGTATAAAAGGATGCTTTTATCGTAATACAATTTTAACATCAACATATAAGCATACACCCAAGTAACCTGGTGATTTACGATCTAGTAAAGGAAAGAATGTAAGTATTTATTTAAGATCTATCTCACTTTCGCAATCTGTTGGTTCCAATTGGCTGGGTGGGTGTCAGGGGGCTCATGAATGGTTAATGAGGTGAGACCAACAAATTTTCCTTGCGTGAAAACCTTAATTAATCTTAATTTGCAGGCTGCGATTAAAATCCATGTTACAAGTCCTAGCTTCAAGTGCTTTAACACAGGTTTAATAGTAATCTAAGCCACCTGGGCCAGCACTCAAGCACATGTCATTCGCATTTTACCAAGAAGTTCATAATTCAGTGGCTGGGACACAGCTATCAGTGTTAAGGGTGGTGTGGTGGCTCAAGAGTGGGAAACAAGAGGTCAAAACACATGATTAAAAACACGATTGTTTTGATTTCCTTACACTCCAATTATTCTATTCGCTACACTCGGAGCCACTTTAATTGGGCTCTTATCCACAGGAGCTGCCATATCTTGCCACATGCTCTTTAACGAGTATTTGCCAGAGAGCAATCAAACTGAAATTCCATGCTCAATGTTTTACCAAGATGCTCATCGATATATTAGCCTATTGCTTTTGGATAATGACATCTCAATAAATTTGGGTCGCCGGTTAATTTTGTTGAAATAGACGGGGATATTAGACGAGCAAAGTTTACAAAACTAGCTGTTAGGTAATGTAAAAAAAACTTTAGTGGTGTTTTTATTGTTTAAGGATTTACAGCTCAAAGTGAAGTTAAGTGGTTATCATGGCCAGTGCCAGATCCTGCAACTGTCACACAGTCAACACTTGACCTCGAAAGTCCGCACTTAAATTATCACCACCACCCTTTGGTTTTTGGTTTATTGCCAGTCTCTGGGTGCCCACTCCAATGCTGTTATTATTAACTTTGATTTCAATGCAGCCATTCCACATCCCTCACTTTGATCGCGAGTCCCTGTGTGAGCTTGTGTGTGTATATGCCCATGTGTTTGTGTGTTTGTGTGCGTAGTGCATTCCCCCTCTCCTCCAGTAGGAACCCATTCACTCAGGCTTGGCATCTCCTCCCTGGATTTTGTCACCGCTAGTCTCATCGTCAGAAACTTCTGTCTCTGTGACGGATGAGACGACACGTCGCGTGATGCTCGTGAAGGTGTAGGGCCCGCGTCTGCACATACAGAGGGGGGAGGGGGAGAGGAGTGGGGAAGAAGGGGGAGGTGGAGCGAGAAGGGTCATTCAAAGAGCTACAACTCATGATTACTCGTGATAAATGACCAGCTCATTTGTAGTTGATCGCGAATCAATTATACGTTCACAATCAGTGGTCAAAATTATCCAATAATCGAACGCCAAACCTGTGTACCGGCACTTTTCAAAAACAGTTCTTATTCCTCTACTCCAAAGTTTCCGCAGAGGAGGGGGCTGAAAGTGGATGTTTCTATAAGGAGACTTCTAGACCACCCTACAAATAATGTCTGTTGGTAGATTGGCATGCAGGTATGGTAAGCTGATGGGGGTAGGCAAGCAGGTTGGAATTCCATGTTTTTTATATAGGTAGTTTAACTCGGTGGTAGTCCAGCCACCCAAAGCTGTCTTATCCTTCCTGCTCGTTGGCCCAAAGCCACGTCGTTATTCCCAGTGAAGGGCAGTGAGAGGGGATAGCTGCTGCCGGATCTGGGCTCCCACACACCTCAGCTTGGTCTTGAGGGTGTTGACCTCGCGGTTCATGGCTTCGGCAGACTCCGTGACATCCTCGAGCTCCCGCGCCAGCTTGCGCCTCGAAGAGTTAGCACGCGTTGCCTCCTCCTCCGCCTCCTCCAGCTGCCGCTTCAGCGCCTTCATGCGTCCAGTCACCTTCTCCACCTGTAATCAGCGCGGCGTGCCCACATTCGAATCAAATCATGAGCAAATTTGGCAATTGCGCGATTCATATATAGCAAGGCTATCACTGTGTTTCACCGTCAATTATGGTCAGCAGTAGTTTTCACAGTAGGGAGGTCATGTTGCGGTGGCTTTATCCAATTAGGTAATTTGTGAGCGATTTTAACATTTGTCAAATTCGGACTGTGATGCTGGCCACACGCGGCCTACTCTTTTCCTAACGATGTCATATGATCTTTGGTATTAACCAGGGAAGCTGCTGGGCTCAATCCACAAACCTTTGCAAAAAGCAGCAAATGCGATAACGCAAGGCCACGACACGGCATTGACTACACGGGCACCATGCCCAAGGTTCATCAAACGCACAATAATCACGCCACAGGTACATTAACCATAAACTATTGCTGTTGAACGTGATGATGATAGTAATGACTAACAAATGCAATGATGCAAAAAGTTATGAACTTGTATACCTGTAATGATTCACAATGTTTCAGGATAAAAATCTTATGATTTATTTATATAATTTAGTGGTTAACGTAGCTGCCAATATTGGCTGCTTGAGTCGTGTGAAGCTATTGCACACACATTTATTCATTTATGGTCATGTTTCAATGTCCCCAACAGTGTCCACACACACACACGTGTGCGTGCCCGTGCGTGCGTTCCCACCTGCTCACGGTACTGATCCGCGTGGCGGCGTTCATCCTCCACCTGCAGCGCCACCTCCTTCAGCCTCTTGTCCGTGCGCCGCACCAGTTTGTTGGCTGCCGCGCGCTCCCTGCGAAGACGCGCACACGTCGCTACTACATTAGTGCATCTCCACCACCTGACCAAGCCTGAACACTGCCCCGTTGATTTGCTCACGCTGCAGCCTTCGAAATTATGCTCCTTTGCATCTCTACACTCCTGCGCTGCCAATGAGTCTAGTCTGATTCCATCAGTCAACGCACCAAGCCAACTCCGTGCCCAAATCAATGTTGCTCCACTGAAAACACATCAGTACTCACATCCTGTAAGTGTGGCTTTCCCAAAGGCCATTCACAATCATGTCTGCATTGCCCATGCCATATCAATGTACTAAAACCCCAACATCTCAGGAGTTATCCATGTGTGCATCAATATGCCTTCACCAGAGACGCATCTTAATTCCCCATGCCACATGTACATCCCAACAAATTATCCCTGTTGATGTCTCTGCCTCACTGCCTCACCATAGCACGCACTCCACTCATTCACCAAAGGCGAATATCCATCATGAAATCTCCACTACCATCCAGCACTCGTTTATGCAAATATATCAACATACCTCCATCACTACCATCACAAGACAGTAAATGTTTTAAGTGCATCTTTGTCCGTTCCATTTACTGCCCCCAATTCTAGGTAATTCCATCCATGCCCCGTCAATTCTACTTCACTTCTACCCGACCTGACAGATGTCAATCTATGCCTCCATCATCATAGAACCACCTCCATCCAACAGATTCCATCTATAACCCATCAATTTCCTTCCATCACTCTGCCTCCACCTCAACTCATGTGTGTTGTCAGCATCCTGTCCGTCTGCCCTCACCGCGCCTCCATGTCGAGCTGCTCATCCAGGGAGGCAATCTTGGCCTCCAAGGTGGCGATGATGCTCTTGTACTTGGATTTGCCCTCCGACTCCAGCTCTTGCAGCTTCAGCTTCAGCTCCTTGTTCTGGCGCTCGAGTTGCAGACGAAGCCCATCGGCCTTCTGCGTGAGGCTGCGTTCGCTCGTCAGCTCCATCGTTATCTGCTCCACCTGCACCGCGGTGGGCAAAGACGCCGGCATGGTGACGGCGCGCTCGTCTTTGTCACCATCATCATTATCATCATCCACGGTGGCTTATCATTAAGGGCCGGTGGGTCCTGGGCCCCATCAGTGAAAAGAGGAATAGGAAAAAAAAAACCACCGTCACAATACTTGTTCATTATAAAAAGCAAAAAAAGTATACACTTACACCACCCTCTCTTCCACTCCTTCCACCACTTCCGCCTTCTCCTGTTTGAGTCAATCAAGTGCCTGGCGAACATATCTGCAGCGCGACTGCCGTGTTGAATGCACCTGAAGCGTGATCTTGCGCAGGCGGTCCTGAAGGAGCTCCGTGTTGTTCTGCTCCTCGTCGACCTCCTCCTCCAGCTGCACGATGCGAGTCTCGAGTCGACGCTTCTCATCCAGCAGCGCAGACCTGCGGGAGAGAGTTCACGCCACGTCTCGCACCATCGTCCTTCGCTGCTGTGCGTTCTAACTTCTTGGAGGAGGAGGGTAAAACAGCCTGACTCCCAAGAGCACACATGAGCAGTAAAGGGCAGTGAGAGGGGCAGCTGTCTCCACACATAAATCAAAATACATTTCAGTCCATCAGCCAATTCACTTTCTATACAAATATTACTCAGCAGCATGTGTTTCAGCAAGCAAACACTGGACCAGTTTGTTTACCTTCCGGGTCTCATTCGCAGAGTCAGGCTCCGGGCTGCCAATAGTGATAAGCCTCAGTCTGCTAGTTTCTCATGGTTGGAGGCTCACAGCAAGTGGTTAAAATACCAGATGGCCACGATCCTGCAAGTTTTTCCAATGGACGACCACCGATGTCTTCCCTTAAATTGGTATTCCAGGCCCAATTACCCATCATAATATACTTCACCCTCATTGTATGATGTGTAAATTGTTTTTCTTTTTCTCAGTGCAATTCCAAGCATTGGTAATCGTCACAACGCAAGACACCGGTATCGTTTCGTGAAAAACAATACCGCGCCGTGTGTCTGTGTTACGCACTTCCCAGAGCTGCCGCTGGCGATCTCCTCGGCGAGTTCATCGCGCTCCGCCTCCACGTGCCGGCGGGCGCGCTCGGCAGCTGCCAGTTCCTGAACGATCACAAAGACAGAGACAAACATCTCCCTTATAGCCTCAACAGACTGTTCGGGCAAGTGCTGTTAGCAAGCACCTATGAAGGCCGACAAAGCACACGAGGGGGTGGGAGGCCAGCGCTGCCTTTGTATCCCGCGTGGCGGTGTTTACACCTCGCACCAGATACTCATTTGAGGCAGAATTGACCTAGGGGGAGACCCAGGACCGATTCAGATAATCGTCACTGGTGTTGGCCGTGAGCGGGAATTGTACTCGGGTTGCCGGGTTCGTAGTGCCTGCGCTAATCACGACACTATCGCTCAATAAACACACGCACACATCTCTTTGGCACAACAATCTCATCTGACCTGGCATGGAATTGCTATATTACTTAGCTAGCTAAGGAGGTATCGAAGAATAATGGCTTTCTTTTCCCCTGCCAAATATTTAATTCCGAACAATTATTAACATGACTAGAGAAGCACAAATTCAGCCAATGCTGGAATACCGTTGTCCTGCCTGGGGTGGAGCACCTAATGCCCAACTCATTTCACCTTTTCAACGACAGAATTCCCTCCCATCATCTCCGATTTCGAATTCTACGGCTTTCACTCAATTCAGCATTCACACTTCCCTAACATACCGTCAATAGTGCTGTTGTTTACTGGTTGCTTGGCAATTTGTAATTCAGTTATTTTGAGTACACTATCTTCCCCTGGGATGCTGCTGCGGTGAATAGTTGGTAGCTGACTCGACATGCAATCCAGAGGTCGCTACTTCAATCTCCGCACACGGTATTTGAAAAAAATGGGCAAGTTTCTTAAATCCCCCCCCCCCACCTCTGTCCTCTTAGCATTCTAAATGGATGTACCACAGTTGATAGGCATATTTGCATGTGGTCGGGTAAAGTGTACGTAACCCCCTCCTCTGATTTGTTAACAACCCGATGCACGAATCCTGTGGGCGTCATAAATCAAACTCACTGTTATTATCTGTCTAGCGTGGAAGAGTATGCCACAATACTCACTTAGAGGGTCTCCCAAGAGCTTTCTCGAGTGAAGACTCTTCCGCCAGCAGTGGCAATCCGCACCTCAATGTTGTTGTTTACACTATGAGATCTCTTTTACCAGTGGCAAAATATAGTAGTAGGCTTTTACCCTTTTAAACTGGTACAAAACTGACACCTTTATTCAAGGCATCATGTTTGCAATAACCACAACACAAGTAGCTTTTTTGACTACTTGTGTTGTGGTTATTGCAAACATGATGCCTTGAATAAAGGTGTCAGTTTTGTACCAGTTTAAAAGGGTAAAAACCTACTACTACTGTTGTTGTTTACCTTTGATCCAATAACCCCGTGTGACATGCGGGTCACGGCACATCCGGTCACTTTATTTCACCGGACACACTGCGCGGGTCGCTTCGGCGGTAGAGTACGGTCTTGCTCACCTCCTGCAGGTGCATGATCTCGGCCTCGAGGCTCTTGAACTTCTTGTCGTTATCGCGCGCCTGGTTGAAGATCTCGTCGCGGGAGGATGCGCGTCTCCTCCAGCTCGCGGTAGAACTCCTTGAACTGCGTCTGCAGCTTGCGCAGCTGCTTGGTGGCCTCGTCCCGGCCCTTGTTGGCCGTCTCAGCCTGGCCCACCAGGTCCTGCAGGTCCATCTCCAGCTTCTTCTTGGCGTTCACGGCTTGCGCGCGCTGCTTGCGCTCCTCCTCCAGCTCCGTCTCCATCTCGCGCACCTGCGCACGCCACACGCGCCCGGGGGGGGAGGGGTGGATGTCAATGTGTGGATTTCAATAAGTTGGGAAGGATTGATACTGATGAAGTCAATTTGCAATGCTCACAATGCCTATTATGAATCGGGGAACGCAAGAGGCAACTGCAAATATTAATTGCATGCTGTTCCCTGCAGTCAATACAAATGACAAATAACAAACTACACAGTAGCAGTGCAGAAACATCAGTTCTGTAAATGAATCTTGAGCCAGAACCGTAACAATTCATTAAATTACAGGCAGTGTGTATCCATTAAATGAAAATGCAACATACTAAAGCCTCAATAGAAGAAGAGGCTACCAAAACCACTTTATTTTCTTACTATAATAACGCTGACCCTATGGCAATTGCCAGTTTAAACCACCTGTAAATAAAGCATCGTTGAGTTCACCACTGAATATGACCAGGGGCCCCTAGACAAAACACACATTTGGACACAGTTACAAAAGCACACCTTGATGTTTTTGGGTTTGAGTCTTCCTTCAAAATAAAAGCCCGACCAACATGGCCGCCAGTCTAACCCCGCGTGTCTAGCCCCCGCGTCTCCCCCGCCGTGCCCACCTGCTTGATGAGCAAACGCCGCTTCTCCTCGCCCTGCTCATCCTTGCCCAGCAGCTCGCGGTCGTACTGCGCCTTCAGCGCCTGCATGTTGACCTCCAGGCGCAGCTTAGCATCCTCGGTGGCCTGCAGCTCATCCTCCAGCTCCTCCAACTGCGTGCGCATCTCCGCCACCTGCTGGTCCAGGGCCCGCTTCGACTTCTCCAACTCGTGCACCTGCAGCAAGGGGCAAAGGGTGGCGGCGGTGGCCGCCAAGGGAGAGAACCAATGTAAGACCAAGGGGCAAGTCGTGTTCACCCTCCAAGTGAAGTGCGACCGGACGCAACGGACGCGTTGAAAAGTCCACAGCCCTCGCCGAGAAAGCAACAAGTGACCTTGACGAGCGAGTGCTATTTTATACATGGTCACGTAAAAATGCAATGGTAATTGGATGATTGATGTACCAGAAACTTTAAACGCTGCCTGGAAGAGTAATTTGTCTCGCTTTTTAAAGCACTCGCAGAGACACATTGCATGTCTTTCATTTTGACAAGATGACTTTTTCATAAAATTTTCCTTTTGAAAATTATTTTTCAGATTCTTTAAGAACACAGATGAACACATGCGAGGAAAAAAACTACGGTATTTTGTAGGCCTTTTATATACCTCTTCTTGAATTTCCTCACAAATGTTATTCTAATTGTGCCATTGGTGTCAATTTAAAATTTGGAGCTCTGAAATTGGGCGGTATATCACCCTGGCATTGGGAAACAGGTCTGGTGAGTATGGATTTTCTCCAGATTTGTATGGATTTTCTCCAGATTTGTATGGATTTTCTCCAGATTTGTATGGATTTTCTCCAGATTTGTATGGATTTTCTCCAGATTTGTATGGATTTTCTCCAGATTTGTATGGATTTTCTCCAGATTTGTATGGATTTTCTCCAGATTTGTATGGATTTTCTCCAGATTTGTATGGATTTTCTCCAGATTTGTATGGATTTTCTCCAGATTTGTATGGATTTTCTCTAGATTTGTATGGATTTTCTCCAGATTTGTATGGATTTTTTCCAGATTTGTATGGCTTTTCAAACCCAGGATCTCAGTGGTGTCACCAGCTCAAGCCCCCTGATCTCCGAGCCACCAGGTCCTTCTAAGCCCAATGTCCTTTTTAAAAAACCTCGAAATCTCTTTGCGCCGGGCACAGCAGGGTCCGAGAGTGGAAACGTACGCTCTTGCCGACGTCGTCCTTGGAGCTGACGAGGTCCTCCATCTCGGCGCGGAGCTGCTTGTTGCTCCGCTCCAGCTCCCCCTTGGACTCCATGGCCTCCTCGAGCGCGCGGGCCAGCGACAGAGCCTTGGTCTCCTTCTCGCGGGCGTCGGCCTCGGCACGGTCACGCTCCTCGGCGTAGCGCATGGACACGTTCTTCTCTTCCGCCAGCATCTGCACCACAAACAACAACGCGATCGATCACAACAATGAGCAAGTATTCACAATCGTGGCTGTAACAATCAGCAGAGCACAGTGGGTAAAAGACAGATATGGAATATTGTGCATATGTAGAGTTCTTTTGTCAATCCACTGCTGGATGAGGGTATCCCAATGCCGTGTGGGCTATGGGAGTTACTTGACCATGCTTTACCACACTGGTTAGTGCAGGCTGGTTAAGGCAGGAGCAGACGAATAAAAGTGCAGTACAAAAACAGATATTTCTGTATCATTCTTTGCTGCTCATACATTAGCACAGCCCCGTAGGCACCCATGATAACCTGGCATGCTTGGTGGTCATCTAACCAAGTAGTATCCAGGTTGAAACCTGCTTGGCTTCCAAAATCTGACGAGATGGGGTGCCTTGCGGATGATTTAGAGAGGCATGATATTTTATAGGCATTATATTTTCCTTAGCCAATGTTTTATTTAGTCTATTTCGTTTTCCACCAAATTGTATTGTAATTGTGCCAGCCATTGGTGTCAATATTGAGTGGGAGCTTGTGTTGGAAATGATGAAATGAAATGATGAAATTGATGATTAACACTACATTGAAAAAAATATTAATGTGAAAGTTACATTGATATCACTGATGGATTGCGTCAATGTTGAAAGCTATAATTTGATGAAGGCGATGCAGACGTCATTTACGATTATAAAGGTAATGCTGACAGTGATGAACGTAATGAAGATGAGAGTAATGGCGATGATGTCGGTGAGGTCACTCGCCTGGTCAAACTTCTTCTGCTTCTTCTCAAGGTTGGACACGGTCTGTCGCTGGTGATCCAGGTCAACCGTGAGGTCGTCCAGCTCCTGCTGTAGCCGGTTCTTGGTTTTCTCCACCTTTTTTTGTTTCATTTTCCCACACGCACACACGCACGCAAGCAGATGGAGGAGCCAAGGTGAGGGGGGAAGGAAAGAGGGAAAGTCAATGTAATGTGCAGCCTGGGTTTTTACACAGTACAGCTCCAATCCATGCAGAAGGAACATCCAACTCATGGCCCTAAAACATCTCCAATCACCTGATTATTCTCTGTACCTTACTTTCTTAAGTTTACTCCTCCAGAATGTCTGTATCTGGCGGTCCTTGCAGTCCCACCTCACCCAACCGCCATCTCCATATTCCCACATCTGACCGCGCTAACCCACATGCCACTGATGTCACTGCGTACCATCACAGCCACTCACCTTGTCATATGCGGCAAGCTTTTCCTCGTGGCGATTACTCAGGGACTCCATGTCCTTCTGCAGCTTCCGTTTTGCCTCCTCCAGAGCCTCCACTGTACCCAAGTTGTCATCCGCGTGCTTCTTGACGTCGCTCAGCTGTCCGCGATAACAAACGAACACACCAGTTGGATTTATTTTTAATTTAATCAGTGTTGAGTCTAGTTGTTGACAATCTGTGGAATATAAATCAAGCCACTTCCGTGCCCTCGTCGAGGAGGCCGCTCTCCCATCTTACAGTTACATGCTAATTTCTCACATTAACATCACTAGCCCCGGCCACTTCTTTATAACCCTTGAGCTACACCCATTTCAAACCTTTTAAAACAGTCTGCCTCAGCAGCAGACCATGCTTTCCCACCTGATGACGGACGCTTGTGTTGCGCCAGAAACGTCCTGATCCATTTTATTTCCTACCTACGTGACTTTACCGAAAGAACCAAAGAGTATGGATTCCTGCAGTCACGAAAGCTTCAAATCAAGATTAAGCCTAAGTCTCTTGATGTCATTCGGTCATCCTCTTAGACTCGGCGACTAAAGCAGCCAACGCAATAAGTTCACTCTCATACCTGTGCCTGCAGCGTCGCCATCTGCTTCTCGAGGTTGCGTTTCGCCTGCTCCTCCTCCTCCAGCTGCTCTTGGAGGCTGTTCTTTTCAGTCCTCCATCTGCCGCACCTTCGTACTGAAGTTCAGCTTCATGCGCGTTTCCTCCTGGAGCAATTCCTGTGGACCGCACGCACGGATTGCCATCGTCAGCGTCAATGCTTATTGCATCACAGTTACGATATTAATTAACAGAGTGTATAAATGTGATCTCATGTCAGAATGCCTTTTAAAATAGCGGGGCTATGCAAATGAAAGGCTATAGGGGAGTGGCAAATAGATGATTGTGCACTATTATTGGTAATGTTCGATTTACTTACATAACTAGAATTTTTTATATCCAAGGATGAGTAAAGTTAGCTATATTAGAAACAAAGTGGATAACAAAGCAAAAATTCTCACTGCTCCCATGTGCACACTTTCACAAAAGCTCTCCCAATTAGCCATCATAGACTTTTGGGGCAAGTGCAATCAGTGAGCACCGATTAAGGCCGACACGGAATGATGTGACCAGCACCACGTGCCCAGCCGCCTTCATCTCACCCGTAGCGATGCTTTACACACTACGCCAGGAACTCATATTTAAAGTGGAGTCAATGTGGGGAAGGCCCAGGATCAATTCAGCGATCACTCACCACTGATGCTAGGGCACGGATGGTTATCAAATCCAGGCTGCCGAGTTCAAAGCGCAACGCGCTAACCACTGCACCCCAATATGTGTGTATGCGTGCACATGTAATGTATATGTGCTGCCACACAAACACACAGACACACCAATGTATGCTGATTGTGCTCGTTTGTGTGGGAGAATATGGCCAAGGTGGTGGCAGGTGCCATACCTGTGCATCCTGCAGCTGGGACTGCAGGGTCGAGGTCTCCTTGTTCAGCTTGATGGCCTTGCTCTCCGTGTCCGACAGGATGCCCGAGAGGGCCTCCAGCTCGCTCTTGAACACAAAGATGGTCCATTAATTTTCATCACAATACCCATTCATTTATTCAATACCCATTCATTTCCTGCACCTTCGATTAGCACGGTTGGCTACGTATGGTGCAAACAAAGTTTAACGTACATACATTCAAAGTCAGCTCACGTGAGGGAGCTTATAGTGATTGCACAGCGAATCCAGTGTATGTTACAAGTTCATAAACTTTAAATTTGTTCGAAAGTCCAAGTATCTCCTCGAACTTAGGTGCAGTTGTCATCTCCATCAGCTTTATCACATGTAACACTGAAACTGATGATAATAAATTACATTTATATTGTCTTTTATGATAAATACATCCAAGGGACCTTGCACGATCCCATGTATCATCATACAGAAGTCAAGTCATCAAACAGCAATCAACTATGTTCCACACTTCCCCTTCTATAAACAATCATAAAGCATCTTAGAAATGTATAATATTAATCGCACAGTAAGCAAGCATTTACCACGCAACCTGTTCTCATAAGCGTTGTTCACAGTCAAAACTTGTAAAAGAAAAAAAATTTGATCCGACTTAAACCAAGACAAGGAGGGCATGACGAATCCATAACGTCGGAGCTCGTGTGAGAAAATCTCCATCACTCACATCTTTCTGAAAACTAATTTCTTTAAAGCTGCTTATTATGTTTAGCTAGTTGTCCTTCCCCGCACCTCCGATTAGCACGGTTGGTTACGTACAGTGCGAAAGAAGTTCAACATATGTACGTCATCAGCGCTCGCCGTCCGCTGGGCGGGTCACCAACTCCGCTCTACTTCTCCGACATTCGCCGTGACCAGAGGGGACCGTGTGCGTGGTGGGAGGGGGGCAGCACCTGGAATTTGTTGGAGCGGTCGGCGAGCTCAATACGCGTCCGCTCGCTCTCCGCCATCTTCGCCTGCAGCTCCTGGACCTGGCCCTCGGCTCGCTTGCGCTTCATCTCCAGTTCGCTACGCGCCTGGCTCAGCACCTTCACCTCGCTTGCCAGCTCACGGTTCTCTCCCTCCAGGCCCTGCTTGTTCTTCTCCACCGTAGCCTTGAACTGTGGGGTCAGAGGGCAGGGGACGCAGGACAGAGGGGGGGGGGGTGGCCATTAGGTTGGTCAGGTGGTTCATAATGGTCATGTCTGACATCTGAGAATATGTGGATGGTTGAGTTCTAAACCAGGTGTAGAGGTCATGATAAAAAATAAGCACGTGTGTGCATGTGCATTTGTGTGCACACTTCTGTGTATGTGCATTAGTTGTGCGTACACATGTGTCTACATGTACATGTGCACGAATGCATGTGTACACGCATTGGTGGACTTCACCAGTGGTGCATATTCAAACCGGTTCTGGGCCTCTCCTAGGTTGACACAACTTGAAAGGAGTACCTGGTGTTTAAACATTGGCACGAGGGAGACAAAGACGGCTAGGCATGGTGCTAGCCACCCACCACCTCATATGGTGCTTGCTAACAGCACTTCTCCCAACAGTCTGTTGAAACCACAATGTACATTTGCATTTGCCCCAAAAGCCTATTCAGGCTATATGGGGGATCTTTGTCCTTGTGTATATGTTTATATATTTGCATGCATATGTGCGTGCGTTCATGCGTAAACGAGTGTGGTTGTGTGTTCACGTGTATAGGCGTGTCTATTTATGTGCATGTGCATGCATTTGTATGTGCTGACCCTCTTGGCTTGCTCAAGCTGTTCGGACAGTTCCTCCAGGGCCTGGTTGTGCCGTTGCCTCATGTCCTGGATCTGAGACTCATGGTTCCGTGTCTCCTCATCAATCGCTTTCTTCAGCTCAGTCACCTCCTGCTCACGCTTGGATCTGCACGTGGAGCAATGAGAAACATAATCGATTTCGCATTATACACTACAAGGACAAGTGCTGTCTGCGAGCACTTTTTAGGGATGGCACTGCATACAGAGGATGGTGTGGCCAGCACCACACCACTCCACTTTTGCTTCTAGTGCTGATGTTCGCAAAGCGCACCAAAACGCTCGTAAAAAAAGACTGTAAACCAAGGAACATTTCATATGTTGATACATACATCGGCTGTCATTTCCCAACTGTCCAAGATATATTATGCTTTGTTAATTAGGAAAAAAAATCCTGAATAGTTACACAGGTCCTACTTTACTGCATTGATGCATAATGACGAATGGCGTTGCACCGTGATGTCAGTGCCATCATTATAACGATCAACATTGCAATTAACATCGCATTCAGCACCATGATATCATCACTTAATGTCATCACTATCATTATAATTAACATTAAAACACAACCACCATCACCCTCCATTCACATTACCTCCAATAACACCGGCACCACCACGACCAACCACTTCACACCGCCGGCACCACCGTCACCAGCGCATACAGAACACAATTGTCCCTTCTCACTTGAGCTCCTGCTGTGCGGCAGTGGTGTCCAGGGTGTCCTCCAGCTCCGTCTTGAGGGCCTCGAGCTCCTCGCCGAGGTCGCGCTTCTGCTTCTCGGCCTTGGAGCGAGCGGCCTTCTCGGCGTCCAGATCCTCCTGAAGTTCGGCCAGCTGGGCCTGCAGCTCCCGCAGCTGCTTGAGCGCCATGTTCTTCTGGCCGCTCTCCTCCTCCACCCTGGAGTGAGCCGATGCGCGGATTGCACGGGGACGCAAATGAAGGCAGCGGAATCAGAGAGGCATTCGTGATTGTGTGATGAAGAACACAATTTCATTGCGCACTGAAATGAAAGGAAAGTTTCTAATGTGGCCACTAAATAGCTTGGCTATCTTCTCCATACCAAAGCCTTCTTTAACTCTGAACAATTATTACTACATATAAAAACATTTTGCCGAAGTTAGAAAACTGCTGTCATACCTAAGATGCAACATCCAGTTCCAATATCACTTTACTTTATTTAATTTAATGTGAAGTGGTCAGGTTTATTGAAGATCCAGCACTCACTGGGTCGCTTCAGCCAATGTTGACTGGCGGTTAAGGGGTCTCCTTATCACCACTGTTACTGTTTCGCATGAACATGACTTCACCCAGGCTTTCTTTAAAATCCCTCGACCCAGGGTTAGGTCCATTATTGGCTCTCAGCTGGTATCAAGCAAAGGGACTTATTCACTGATAATATGGGATCAATGGTACCTTTCTTTAGTAAATAGGATCACCAACGAGACTGATGATATTACCATGAATATCACCACCACTGACTGCCACTGCCTCGAATGCTATCACTACCAGGGCCTACCACTAGCAGCAGCGAACCTGTCACCACTACCAGCACTGTCAATGCGATCGTTCACCTGGCAAGGGCGGCCTGCAGCTCTTCTTCCTTCTTGGCGAGCAGGGCTTTGAGTTCGATGATCTGCTGCTGTAGCTCAGCGATCTGATCGGAGAGGTCGGTGCTCTCTCCATCCAGCTTGCGCTTTACCTTGTCCAGCTCCTGGCGAGACTTCTCCTCACGCTTTAGCCGATCTGCACCACGAGAAAGTCAGCAGGGGGCGATGGATCATCACAATTAACTCGGCATCGTAATTGCTAAGCGATAGAGCATTTGCCGCCATGGTTAAAACTGACAGTGGTATTGAGCAATATATAAACGCCATCTGCTTCACAACGGATGAAAAAAGATGATTACGGCAATGACAACAATAATCACGGTGACAGAAATAGTAACAACCTTGACCTAAAGCTTTCGTGACTGCGGAAATTAATATTCTTGGGTTTTTCGGTAAAGTCGCGTAGAACCTATCTACGTGACTTTACCGAAAGACCCAATAATATAATAACAATGTTGATTAAAATGATTACAGGTCCAACTCACCTCTGGCAGGGATTTGAATTCACGACCAGCAGTCCTGCTATTCAACCAACTGATATATATTCCTAGTACAAATCCTCACCATCCATATTCTCTTTTCCACGGTACAATTGAGCCACACCACGGCCATCCCAAGCCAGCCCAACGTGGCTCATGAAGGCCTCGGTGCTAATTTTCCACTGCAGAACCTGATTTCTGATATCGGCAGCACAATGTCACAAACCAGTGAAGACGCATGTAGATGACGCGGTGATAAGGTGTCCTCAGAGTGTCCTAACATCACACGTAATGAACACTATTAACCCTGTGCCCTGGCCCTGCTTTGCCCCGAGCCAGATTCAGATTTTTTTGTGAGGCCAAAGTGGCACGGTTTGATCCTGGCAATAGCCAGTGGAGAACCATCTGGACCGTGAGGGACATTGCGCTGGCTTGGCCCTGATGTGCCAGTGGAAAAGGGTTATACGCATCAATGCTCACCTTCGAGGTCAGCGATGATGCTCTCTTGCTTGTTCTTCACCTTGAGCAGGTTCTTGTTGTTCTCCTCCTCCTTGGAAAGGTTGGTCGCCAACTCAGCCACCCGCTCCTCAATCAGCTTCTTCTCCTACGTATTGCACGGGCATCAATAATAATCGAGTCATTTATTTTTCCAGGAAAGTCTCACCGAGTCGAGACTTGTGACATGAGGGTCCTACATTGGGACTAATTGGACAATTCCTTTGGAAGTAATGTTTTCTACAAGTGGGTAAAAACTATATTAGCGGAAGAAAACTCATCACACGCATAAGGTGGCCAATTCCTGGTCACCTTGAATTCAATTGGGTTTGGGAGTTTCACACAAATCTCCATGTGATTCACCGAGCCTTGCCTCCAAAGCACTGATCACAGCAGTGTCCAACCACTCCCAGCAAAAAACTCGGCGAAACTGAGAAGTGGACGTATCTTGGAGGAGCAAATGGGATTCTGGTGTTTGAATGCTGATTCTGTACATTGCCATGCGCTTTTGAATTATATACATCATGCCACCTGGTCACATCAACCATCAATGTGACATTTCGACTATTGAGAGCGTGCAAACCTTATTGAACTTTGAATTTTGGTCCTCAAGGATGATCAGGTCCTCCTCCATCTTCTTCAGCTTCGACTCAGTCTGGACCTTCTCGAGCTGCAGCTTCTGGCGAGCAGTTTCCTCCTCCTCGAGTTGGTCCTCCAGGTCCTGAGAGAACGACATTATCCCGCACCTCTGATAAGCACGGTTGGCTATGTACGATGCTAAATAAGTTCAACATACATATGTAATAACAGCCATAGAGGGTTCACGTGGGGATTGGCTTGCCGGTCCTGCTTTGTAGCCAATAAGGGTTGAGATAGGGAGCATGACCCCGGCGTGATCACGGCATGTCATCAGGAGTGATTGGCCTAGCCATTCGGGGCCCCAGCTAATGGGGAGCCGGATGAGGGGCGTGGTCCCGGGATTGACAGGGAACCATCGAGAATGGTCAAGGCTGTCCATGGAGGATTGGCTGGGGGGACCACGTGACGAAGGGATTAAGAGAGAGTGAGAGAACGATCGGGAGCAGACTGGGGAACGAACAGAGCGAGAGCCACGCGCGTACGGGGGCTCTGGGTGCCACGTGCGCGGTGGGAACTGGTGTGAAGTCTGCCCGCTCTCTGTTGTCTGCCAGCAACGGAGCGTGTGTGAGTAAAGTGTATTGTGGAAGTGAAAATAAAGAGGACCGATTCCGAAGCCGTCTCAGAAGGATTATTACACATACATACATAAAGCACCATCATAATCATCAGCCTTCATTCATCACCACCATCACTAAACACTGCCATCAGCACCTCAGTTTTCATCAACACCGCAATTAATTACTACCAACAGCAACATCATCATCACCTCACTATTCATGTCAGTACCATCTGTTTATCATCATGACCACAACTAAGATCGCCACCATAACCAAAATAAAAATCTATATGAACATCACCATTAATGACCAAACAATGAAAAATTAAGTAAAATTCATGCCACCATCAATATGACCACCATAGTAAGAGATTATCAAAAAGTAAATCAACATCAATAAACCTGGGGGTAAATAACAAATGGGTAATTTATGATGAATTGCAATGACAATGTAATTGTAATTTCAGCTAACAATGCTCCAAGTCACTTTCTGCTCAAATGAGCATTGAGACGGTCATCATCTCCTGTTTACAGCCCTGAGTCAGTGATGGGAATTCCACATTCCTATGGAGGGGGGGGGGTAGTCTTTTCCATAAGACAACCACTGTTGACTGTCCCACAAAGTGGCACTCATGTAATCAACTCCAGGGAGGGATGATGGACTGGGTTCAACCCCCAAACAGGATTTGAAACCACAACCTTCCGATTGTGACCCGATCTCTTACCACTTCGCCATTTCCGGGATAGCAATGCAACTGTTATTTTCATTATAATTGACCAAATCTGACTAACATGGTTCTCACATCAGCAATCATCACTCTCACCATTACATCACCACCATCTCTTCACAACCATTGTTACCATTAAATATGAACTACCCCCCCCCCCCAAACCTGGTCATCATTCTCCACCAATCGCCACCACCATACACGGCCAACCACGCAATGCACCAGCGTGGGCCCCCGCGCGCAATCCCACCTGCACGTGCTGCTGCATCTTCTTCTTTTCCTGGTTGAGCGACTGCGCGCGCTCTTCCTCCTCCTCCACGCGCGCCTCCAGGTCGTGGAGGATATCCTCCAGCTCCTGCTTCTTGGCCTCGAGACGCGAGCGCATCTCCTCGGCCTCGGCGCACAGCTCGATCTCCGCCTGCAGTTGCTCCGCCATCATCTGCTTCTCTTTTATCGCCTGTGGCAGTGGCGGGGGTTAAGGGGTCACAATCACATGGGGTCAAAGCGATGTTCGGTTTGCTGGACATTTGCCTTCGCCTTTGTAAGTGCACGTGGCACTGTGTGTGTCCGGCCCGCGGGTTGTAGGTTCCGCGCTCCTGGTGCGTATGCCAACGAGCGGTGGTGGTGGTGGTGGTCACCTGATTGTGTTTATGCTCCAGCTCCACAAGGTCCGTCTCCGCCTGCACTTGCCGCTCCTTTACCTTCTGCAACTCCTCGGCCTTCGCCAGCAGCACCTCATCCTGGCGGCTGACCTGCAGAAGTGGCTTCACCTGCGCGTGGGGGAGGGGGAAACGTGGGATGTGCGATGCGGGAGCAACAAGAAATGCAGAGCACGATCAGGGGATGGGAGATAGATGTGGACAGTCACTGACGAAGCATCATGAGCCAATCATAAAAATTAATTTAGAACATTTGGTATTCCAAACACCATGTCGGTCATGGAGGCTGTTTGATCATACTTCACCACACTGGTGAAGGTGGGAACCAGGACCAGTTTAGATGTGACTCACCAACGATGTGTTTGGCGTGGCTGAGAATCTATCTCAGGTCGCTTGGTTCGTGCGGGAATTACCAGAAATTACTGAGTTGCGACTTATTTTTATTCGGAGCTGAATCTCATCTCTGTCTCTGTACGAGTGTGGCCACTGCACTTAATTATTAACTAAATAATGTTACGTTCACTTTAGAAACCTTAGAAACTCTAAGAGTGCAAATTAAGGGTGTAACAATTTATCCTCTTCCACGATGACAAATCGTCACGATCCGGGGATCACATTTCAGACGTATGTACCAGTGGTAAATCCAGAGTCTAGAGTGCTTCGAAACTCGATTCTACAACAAACGCACACGAATCTATTATCACGCTCAAGATGCATGCATCGCGAGCGTGCGAGTCAACGATTCTGACGAATGAATCGCGGAACCCCCAGTGGGTACCTTGGTGAAGAGGCGCCACCACTGCCAGTTACGCAGCTTGAGATAAGCGGAGCAGTTGCGTTGGATGACGCGCAGTGCACTCAGCTGCTGCTGCCTCTTCCCGAACGCCCTGCACACGCAAACACGATCCCCCAAATAGTATTACAGACCCCAGCGGCAGGCACTGTTAGCGAGCACTATCAAGGTAAACATGGCACACAAGGGGGCGGTGTGGCCACTCTCGTCTTCCAAGTGCTGATGTTCGCACACTGCACCAGGTACGGTTTTAAGGCTGAGTTGACCTAGGGGAGGCTAAGACCAAGTTCAAATACTATTCTTCACTGATGATGTACAAGGTCAGGAATTGAACATAAATGTGCTCGCATAGCATTACAATCCATTCAGTATAGTCATTGCTGTCAACACCAGCCACAAACATGGTATTTGTTTCATAAACTGGCCAATACCCTGCTATTTGGCATTGTTTACAAACGCAAGAGTCCAAATCTTGGTCGGGGTTAACGCAGTTCATCATTCAACTGGGATTAACACATTTACAGCACCTTGTGGGCTCTAACGGCAGCAGTCACAGACTGGCACTGTCATAGGAACACGGAATTTCCACGACTGGGCTTAGAGCCATCTCCAATTATGAGTGCCAATGTATCTAATTTGAGCATGGAGAAACAATTGTAGGATTGCTTTTACTTTTTTATTTTGCCAAAAGCATGCGCAGGTTCAGACAAAATGCAATGTGAACGTCCGGGGTCAGGGTTCAGAGGTGAGAGGAGGTGAAGGTTTGGAAGGGACAGGTAGGCTAGGGGGTCAGGAGTGTCACCTGCGGGCCAGGTATCCGCGGCACGTTGCCTGAAAGGCAATGATGATGTCAGTGATCTTGAGGTCGCGCTCCTCCTCCAGATGGGCGAGCACTCCCGCACGGAAGAAGATTTTGCTCTGCCCAATGCGGTACAGGTTCGGGTCCAGCTCCAGCCCCTTGATCTGCACGGAGGGGAGAGCGGCACGAGAGGCGTTGAGGGGCACACGGGGAGGAGCTGCTGCGGAGAAGCGCAGTAAGTGTTACTGGTTCCACGCTACGCGAGGGGGGACGTGTGTGGATAGCGATACGCACCATGCGCTCGCAGGCCTGTTTCCCGTCCATGAATCCCTTGGGGATCGCGTTGGGAGTCAGGATCTCGTATCTGCACACGAGGGAGTACACAACGAAGAAAATTAGTCCTAGGGCGCAGCGGTGTGAATGTCTGGTAAGCATGTGGATCATGCCAGAAGCGTTTGAATGAACGGAGATTGTGGCTGCTATTCCCTATTTAGCCTCACTGTGAGCCAAATGGGAGTGGATCAAATGTAGGAGATGGTTGTGAGGTTGCAACTCCCTAGCATGTTGAGTGTCTGTGCAGGTGCGTATGGAAGCGCACAGGCGTTTGCATGCGAGTAGATTAATACATTTTTATATACTTGTTTGCACGAACAAGAATGTGTTGTCAATGCATGCGAGTTTATAAATGCAAGCATTTGTGTGTATATGCGCATGTGCACATGTAAGTGTATGTGCTTGCATTTAAAGGTGAAAATTTCGTATGTGTGTATGTACACCCCCATAGTGTACAAGTTAGTGTGTTGCGCAACTCACCAATACCAATGACGATTATCTGAATCGGCCCTGGGCCTCCCCTAGGCCGACTCAGCCTCAAATGAGTACCTAGTGCAATGTGTACATATCGCTGGGAGAGACAAAGGCGGCAAGGGCGTGGTGCTGGCCACCCACCTCCTCATGTGCCATGGCGACCTTTATAGGTGCTTGCTAACAGCACTTGCCCCAACAGTTTGTTGAGGCTATAAGGGGGATCTTTGTCTATCTTTTAGTACACGCCCACAGTGTAGTGGTTGTTAGTGTGCTGTGCAATAAACCTGGTGACCCGAGTTTGATTATCTGAACGGGACCTGGGCCTCCCCTACGAGTGCCTGGTGCGGTGTGTGTGGGGGATCTTTGTCTTAGTGTACACCCTCGTACCTCTGCCTGAACTCCTGGAAGATGATGCGATTGGGGAAGCCCTGTCTGCAGATACGGATGCCCTCGAGGACTCCGTTACAGCGCAGCTGATCAAGCACCAGGTGCGGCTCCAGTTTGCCAGCCTGTGCAAGCAAAAAAAACACAAGTACAACATGAATATAACATGCAATTTGAAATCATGCACACATTTACACACGTACAAAGCGAATCTTACACATTAATCATACAAACACCTCTCTACGTCAGGTGATGGAGGGTCTTAATGCAGAAATGTGGCCAGATCATTAACCACACATGAATACGAATGCATGCACATTAAACAGGAATGTTAAACATGAATCAAATAAGTTCGAACACGTCAAAATTTGTAGATTATCGTCCGAGTCCTGTACTTTTCATATTCCAGGCACGCCCATATGTGTTATTTAGACTCAATGGGCCAGCTTCAGAACTTGACAAAATGGGCAAGGGAACATTCCTCGGCATGCACGCACCTTCTTCTCGTGGTTGGGGATGATGCAGCGCACGAAGTTGGGGTTGGTGTTGCGCAGCGTGGCCATGAGCTTGGTCAGCTGCTCTTTGTAGAGCTGCCCCACGGTGCGGAACATGCCCTTGCGCGTCTTGTAGGTGGAGCCGAAGGCCGTGTCCGTCATCCCCGACACCGTGTCCAGACCCACGATGCGGTCGACTGTACACACGGGGGGGAGGGGCACACGCGCACGACGCGTTCCCGTGCACATTCGTCGCTTAAACATCTATTCTTGCGCTCACAACACGGGCAATGAACCAAATGTGTGAAAATCCAGTATTGCTGTCGATCAATTCATCTCGTTTATATTTTACACTTCAATAAAATTTACATGAACGCCCAACCTATATTCTATACGAAACACAGCACATTTAGTTAAAAATGACAAAACCATGTATCCTGTTGCACCCTTGTTGTGATATATTTTATTTAATAAGGAGATGTAAAATATTCCAGGGAATATAATTTAAAACTAATACAAGCATACATGACAAGTAAGGCCAATTACAAAAGACAGATACCTCGCTTGCCTCATGTATTTGTGCTGTATTACAGATGCACTGAAGAGATGGCCATTTAAATAACAGTTTACATTTATCTTCAATCAGCTCTTCTGATGCTTATGTGGAGATCGTTCCATCATATTATTAAGCAGCACTATAAAGTCATTATTAAATCCCACTCGATTAACAGACTCAAAGGCCTATAATGCAACGTGGCCATATTCCTCATTGGCCAATTCACTCCTCTTTTTCTCACCCTTCCCCGCCCCCCACCCCTCATCCGACTCTGCCCCGCTCCCCCTTCGTATCAGCCCATTTCTCCATCTCCCTCTCCCATTTGCTTCTCTATGCCATCATCACCATCCTCCAAAATCATTGCACCCTCTCCGCTCTCTCACCATCTTTCCAGAGCTCAGCCACGAACTTGTCGGACGACTGATGCAGAAGCGTGGCCACGTTGTCGTTGAGGGGGTCCATGTTTTTCATCAGCCACTCGTCGGCCTTGTAATCCACCTGCCAGGGGACACATGGCACAGGCCCACAGACTCGTCAGACCCGGTGTTTTACTCGCGGCGATGTCACGTGTAGCCCTTTTTTCGTCAATCCACTGCTGGATGAAAGCCTCGTCCATGCTGTACGGATCATGGCGGCGATATAACCACTTCACCACGCTGTTCAGTTTGGGTTTGTGAAGGCAGGTAGCATAGACGTTAAGAGCATCGTACAGTGCAAAAATGCATTTTGCTGCACTGCCCTGTGCTCACAATGTAGCCCTCTACATAATACCCTCCTGTAACAATAATAAGTACTGACACTGAAAGCGGAATGGTGGAGGTTTTAATATTATAGTCATCTGCATCCGAGGTGTGAATTCTACAGGGATAGAAATACTATCTCACACCAGCTTATCTTTCACTCATTTTGCCACTTGGCCTCAAAAGCGTCACGTCACCTTTCCGGCGTAGTGGATGACCGAGAAGTCTGCCTTGTCCTTGAGCTGCTTCGGCTTCTGGAACTTCGGGTGCGTGCCCTGCTCCTGTACCAGCTTCTCACAGAACGACTTGTCCGTGGCCTTGGGGAACCAGCACTCCTCGTCCAGCAACGCCAGGATGCCCGGCGGCCCGGCCTGGGTTGAAGCGCACGCAACAGCAGGCGCCGTCGTCACGCATCGTCAATACGGCATACGTGGACACTTTACAGCAGGGGTGGGGAACCTACTCTCTCCACCCCCACCCTCGGCCCCCCCGCCCCCCGGGGATGTCATTTCATACACGGGGATCTTCATCTTGCATATCTGCACATACCGGCTTCTCGATGAGCTCGATGCATGGCTGCAGGTCGAGCCCGAAGTCGATGAAGTTCCACTCAATGCCCTCACGCTGGTACTCCTCCTGCTCCAGGATGAACATGGTGTGGTTGAACAGCTGCTGCAGCTTCTCGTTGGTGTAATTGATGCACAGCTGCTCAAAGGAGTTCAGCTGCGATGGGGGAATGTTGAAATAACAAAAATAAACACGTTATTCAGTCTGGCATAAAAACCACTGCAACTATTAAATGAGCGACGATCATCATCAGCAGCGGCCATAGTCTATCGACTGCTGCATGAAGGCCTTGTCCAACTTGGTCGCCAGCCCTCAAAATCGCACGACGAAACAATCCGTCTCACTCCTGCACACGAGCCGATATCATCTTTATCGCTCCGCGATGATTATACTGTTCGGCATGTTGCCTCCTTGAGCTGCTACTGGTACATCGCTCTCTACCAATGGCCAGTATTTTGCCTAAATGTACTTACTTTCCCTTATCAGTCACTTTGATGTCTTTAACCTGCATATGTTCTCTATTCCATGTGTACTTCGTTCTGTCTCCAAGTGGAATTCCAAGCGTGCACCACTCTCCACGAGTCTGAGAACTTTTCAGCTTTTAAACCAGCTTAGCATGCACGACCACCAGGTACATCGCGGGCTCAAAACAGACACTGCCAGTCCATTAAACACTGCTATATTGTCAATGCTAACCCAATAAAGGAATCCATTAGACTACACAAATACTGATAGCTTCGTGCAAACATTGCCAGCTCCACACACAGTGTTAACCCATTATATTTTTTGAATAACCCAAGGCAAACACTGGCAGCCCAACAAGCACACAGCGAGCCGCATACAGACACCGCTTGTTCCGTGCTAGCCCCACGACGGGTGGCGGTGGGGGCTACCTCGAAGATCTCGAAGCCGGCGATGTCGAGGATGCCGATGAAGGAGGCGCCCTGACGCTTGGTGCGGTCCAGAGCCTTGTTGAGGCGCTGCACGAGCCAGCGGAAGAGACGCTCGTACGTGGCCTTGGCCAACGCCTCGATAGCAAAGTCAGCCTGGGCGACACGGACGAGGGAGAGGTGCAGAGATGGGCAGAGAATGAGAGAGGAGTGGAAGATTAGGGTGGAATGAGACGGTGAGTGGGGGAGAATTATATAAAGACAGGGGTCAGAGAAGAAAGTAATGGCGAGAAGGGAAAAAGACAGAATCAGATGGAGACAGAAGGAGACAAAGGGGGAGAGTGGACAAATAAACAAACATTGTATTTTATACAGTGAAATTAATAGATTCGAGGGAAAGCAATGTATTATGGGAGCATCTCAGAGTGCATTATGGGACGTTCCCTTACCAGTTCCTTGGTCTGGGCCTTCTGCACGTAGTCGCGGCCGACCTTGATGCGTGGAGTGAGGATTGCACGCGTGAAATCCGTCACGGCGATTCCCAGCAGGTGACACAGCTTCTGGGCAGCTGGTGGTGGTGATGAGGGAGGGCAGTGAGGAGAAAATGAGATTGAGAGGGCAAGAGCAGACGGAAAGTGGGGGAGATCCAGCCAGAGAGAAACATGCACATCAACTCATGGCTCGTTTTTATTTAAAATTCAACAAACCTTATGTTTTAATATTTTTGTGGTTATTTATATTACCAACTTTTCCTAAGGTGCTGCTCTGATTAAAAGTGTGCTTGACTCTCAGTCAGAAAATTCTTTACTCATCTCGGTCAGGGTCGACCCAGCACATCATCGCTACAGAGTTTGATCACATGGATACCCACTTTGCACGAAATCAGCGGTGGTTGTCACTTGTAAATTGACCCACCATAGCCGTATGGATATGCGCACTGGTATCTTATAGCTGCTAAGGAATATGAGCACTGTCCTATGCTCTTTAAATCAGGTAAACGTTGTATTATGACTTTATAGCTAACCAATGAGATGGTGCCATCTGGACTCCCCCCCCCCCCCCCTGCTAGCACATCCTTTACCAGGGAACACTCCCATAGGATGACTATGACAGAGATTAAATCTGTTGTCTTCCGAATGGATCTCTTAATCAAACACAAGGTCAAGGGAAGTTTAGCCATTTGATCATCATTCCATTAAGGACCTCAATATAAAGGAGGCATAGTATATTAATGTTACATTCTCAAGAGTATCTTGGGCCATGAGTATTAAGTTAACTAAATTACAGAACCCAATTTAATGAAGGCTGGCTGCTTGAGAGTTAAACTCAGCGGTGGCTGGCTCAGTGACTCCGGCACCACCATTAGGACTCATAACGGCAACGACTTCACAATTCAGTAGGTTAACACATTTTAAGGTGGGTTTTAGAAGTGCATGTCCAATATATGCAAGTCAGCTTTTGCATATATTTATCAATGGCGTGAGTCACACATTACGGGTGAATGTTCAAAACCTAACAGGTGCATACGAGTGAGCATTTTTAGAAGTGAATTATCTTGCCAAATGTTATAATACAAATGTTAGACTTAAAAACGTGAATATCCTATCTTTAACTAGTCAAGATTGACTTCATGTAAGCAAATATATTTATCTAAACGATCTGACATTACCTTTACGATCCGGAATTCTGTCGATGGGAGTAGCGTGAATATCCTTATCTTATATATACGATAGTGAACATCCTATCGGCGAAGTGAACGCTCCGTCACATGGTGCGAGCTGCGTGAGACGAGCCCTAGAGCGTTTCGGCATCGTAAAATCTGCGTTAATCTGTGCTCAAGTGAGCCATGCCAGTGAATTGTGCCTAATTTCCATGACCAGTTTCAAGTGAGAAGGATCTGTGGCCAGACTGGAGTTGAACCTGGGCCCTGTGTTCCCACAGCAGTTAAAGAAGTGAATGTTGACATCTAACGATTGTTCTTAGATCTGTCAAGCACTCTTCTTTAATAGCGTAAAGCTCTAGGCATCAACAGTTGGGATTGCCACCACCTCACTCCATCACGACACCAAGTTCGTTTCTAAGTAATACTAGTCAAGTTAGAAATTAACTAAACAAATACATTTCAAGTGGGGACTCAAAATAACATCCCTCAACATCGCATTAATGAACACTGCCCTATTTTAACTAAATCATACTATACATATAAACATAGCCACTGCTGCTTGTTATTGCTCTTTGAAATTCCCTTCCTCTTGCCGTCTGCACTGCCCCATATACACTGCCACTGTTCAAGTTCAGGCTGAATACTTTCCTCTGCTGTCTCACTTCATGAGGTGTCTTCATATGCTTTTCTATTATGTCGTTTCTAGTCCGCCTCTTATTCACTGTTCTCATTAATAATCCATCTTTAAACTCTCAACATGGGAAAATTGTCCCTATTTGTAAAGAGTCTTAAATGTGGTTGCATTTACATGCTTCATAATCCAGGTTGAAACATCACTCTTAAATTACTGTACTTCATCCCAGGACACACATCCAAGGTGCAGATCTTTAAGAACCATTTCTTTTTTTGGTTGCCATTTTAAATCACATTAAGATACAAATGCACGAAATCTTATTTAAAACAGTCTCATGAAATCACTTTTAGATAATTCCTATTACCAACACACTCCTGACTTCGCATCGATTTCTGCCCAGTGAAGATCTCATTTTCCTGGGTTGATCACTAGGCCACAGGGGGTGTGGATTGGGAGTAGTGCCTACATATTAGGCAGGGGCTACCAAAAGGCAGGAACTAAGACAGCACAATGTGGGGACGCCATCCAGCCTGGTTTTGTCTCAGTTCGGTGACAGCGCAACCACATGCTACTGAGAACTGGTCATGGAAAAATAGATTTAGAACGTGGTACACATCACAGGAAAATAATACAATACCTTTCACTAAAGCCAAGTCAAACCTGCCAATGCGACAACCAACGGACATTCGTGTTATCTGGAGGTCAATATCATAGCTCCACCATCGGAATGTGTGCGCAAGCATGTACACATACAGTATATGTGCTTGTGTGTGTACAAGTATATGTGGAACAGTACACATAACATGGTTGATCAGTAGGGAGCCATCCCTAGAAGTCACAGGCCCACTGATCAGATTCTCATTGTAGCAGCCTACCATTGTATCTGTAGCATGGTATAGCCAAGGAAGGCTTCTCGAACTACATGGTATACTGATGAACATGGATTTTCTGCTCACGCTGAAAAGTAGTTCGGAGAACCTGTTGATGAACCTGGGAGCTTGCCACCTGAGCTTGCCACAAAGAGATGGGCCTTACTTTCATGGCGGATATAAAACACCTGCCGATCAACACTCTATCCCTTCAACTCTCTCTCCAAAAATAATATGCTGGATGTCGAGAGCGTGGAATAGTTCCTGTACCTCGGCAATGTGCGAATTATCAGCGGTGACAGTGGTTAGTGGACTGTGCTACGAACCCAGCAACCACCCAATTCATTAGTAGCAATTGCATACCTGTCAACCCATACTGTTACCCATATTCTTGTACAGGGAAATTGAGTTCTCAGGTCCATACGGTGTACAGCCGTTTCAATACGGGCACATTTTTTTTTGTGTATTTGTGTTTCTCCCTTGTGATGGTACTTGATGAACGTTGAGATTTATAAGGACACGGGGTGACCAATAAGGTCTGAATTGGTCTGTAATAAGGGAAGCACTGATAAGGGGTTGACAGGTATGCAATTATATCCAAGCAGGTCATAGGCCTCCCCTACATCATCTCAGCCTTAAAAGTGTACCTTCAGCAGTTTGTAACCATCAGCACTGGGAAGACGAACACTGTCAATCAGTGTTTAGCCACACCACCCCATCAAACACCATGCGAGCCTCAGGTTCTCACTAACAGCACTTTCCCCAAATTCTGGTAATGGCTATAGGTAAGACCTTTGTCTCTGTGTACGTGTATCTGTTTACCAGTGTTGTCTGGCATCGAAGCCTGGTCAGTGTTCCTCTCCTTCTTGAAAACGATGTTTCCGTAATGGAGCACGGAAGAGACCACACGCAGCAAGGCTGTGGGGACACGACGCACGCAAGTCACGAGGCCAAGAAACGTCCTTCCCATCTCTCTCGGTCAGCACAGTCTCAGATCACATGGGGGGTCAGGGGGGGCGGGTGGGAGAAATCCTGGCAAGAAAACACCACAAACACTTTTGGAGTCTCTTCACAGGTGCAGTTCATGTGCAGGTGCGTGCGAGTGCGTGCGAGTGCGTGCGAGTGCGTGCGAGTGCGTGCGAGTGCGTGCGAGTGCGTGCGAGTGCGTGCGAGTGCGTGCGAGTGCGTGCGAGTGCGTGCGAGTGCGTGCGAGTGCGTGCGAGTGCGTGCGAGTGCGTGCGAGTGCGTGCGAGTGCGTGCGAGTGCGTGCGAGTGCGTGCGTGAGCGTCGTACAAATCTGCTCCTCGTGCGTGAAGCCCATGATGTTCATGGAGGAGGTTGTCTCCTGGAAGTTGTCCTTGTCCTGCTGCCCTGGGATGACGACGTTTCCGTTGGACAGGAAGCGGTAGTTGTTGTAGCCCTCGAGGAGCAGGTCAGCTGTGGGGCCAGACGGGGAGAGACGCAAGAAAGATGCCATTACTATCGTCGTTATGGCAACAATCAAGAGTTCAAAGGTCTGCGTCGCCATTTGAGCAGACAAGTTTCAAAACCCATAGGCAACTCAGTTGTTAATCCCCAGGGAAAGCCATTTCTATGTCACGTTACTGAAGTCAATACTACATTTGACAAGTTTTTTTCTCTATTTATGATTTCCCTGAAACATTAAATTGCCTCTACCCTACATTTACTATCCATTATAATTCAATCAGACTAGATTTGAAGCTTTCGTGACTTGCAGGAATTACTCTTTGGTTCTTTCGGTAAAGTAACGTAGAAATAAATAAAATAATAGAATACCACATTTCGATTGCAACACAAGCAACCATCATCCGGTACAAATGAATGAGAAAACAAACATAGAAAACTTAGAAATATAATGCAATACAACACAGAGAGTCAGCCAACACAACAGTCAACACCCCACCTGGTTGATTACGTTATTTCAAAGATTGCAAAATTTGAGAGAGACACAAAACACAGACAGACACACAAGCAGAGAGAGACTTACACATGCTTGTGTTGCAATCGAAACGTCGTATTCTATTATTATTATTTAAGTTCTTTCTACGCGACTTTACCAAAAGAACCAAAACGTAATTTAATCAGGTTATGGTATACTGAGATTCAATATTTGGCAATGATGAATGCAGGTGCTTTTAGAAAACCGATGCATATACCCATAAAATGCAATTTTAAATACTAATAAGGTTAAGGTTTTTATGATTTTTATATTTAATGCAATAATTTATTGTGCAGTCATTGGTGACAATCTGGGATGATCAACTCTACATTTTATAGCCGGTTTATTATTGCTGGCTAATTCTATTCAATATGTATTCTTCATCGCGTTTTACACTTTTCAAATGTTTTCTGTACTGTTTAGTTTACACATTGCAACACTCCTGCTATTTTAGGGTACATAATCCTAACCCAAGGTTTGTTATGGGTTCTGATGAACGCATATGCATGTGCCAATGAGGGAGCAAGCATGCATGCATGTGTGTGGGCACAATAAAACGCACTCTTCAGGTGTTCTCCTGCGCCCGACAGGAGCTGGTAGAAGATGTGGAACGTTCGCTCATCCTTCGCCTGCCGGATGGCGCGAGACTTCTCCAGGAGGTCTGAGCGCGCGGAGTCGTCAAGGCAATGGAATGACTATCATCACCGTCACCATCATCGTTCATTTACACAGCAGATTTCACCATACATTTGGCCCGCTGGTGCGATAGCTACAGTACTCGACTAAACAATCTAAAGGTGTTGATTTCAAATCCCATTTGGGGGTTTTCTTGACTGATCATGCCTCCAGTGTCAACAGTGGTTATCCCAAGAGAAACAGGCCCCTGTCATAAGAATGTGTAAGTTCCATCACTGACGTAGGGCTGCCAAGTCTTTAAAGCATCACTTGCGGAGCTTCAAATACTTTTTCGAATCATCCTGCTTGACATATTTGGCCAAGAGGAAATGCAAGAGCTTGGAGATCGCAAAGCTAATGAGGAGAACACAAACTCCACTACTCAACTACAGGTAACAAACACCTCAAAGCCCTTCAGGTGAGCATCTCAATCATTGTGGCTCCATCTGTGCGATTCAGCAATCCCAGCACTAAGTTACAATCAAACAAGATTATCAGCACATTTGTTATTTGTGCCATTTTTATCGTGCAAGACTAGCACGCCCGCCACGATTCACAGATAATTATCGTCAGCAGGGGCAACATTACTTCGTGGCTTTACCCAACACGGTAATTTTAAAATTCGCATTGTGACGCCAGCACTCGTGACCTACTCTTTTTTTCGAATAATGTCATGGGACCGTTAACACCCACTGTGGAGTACATGATGTTTTTGGTTAAAAGTCACAGTATAGTGATAGGTTTTTACCCTTTCAACTGGTACAAAAACTGACAACCTTTATGCAAGGCATCATGTTTGCAATAACCACAACACAAGCAGTCAAAATGCAAACAAAAAGAAACAACTCTGATAATGATTGGTCCAATCAACTTCAAGGACAGTGCATATCATTATCAGAGTTGTTTCTTTTTGTTTGCATTTCGACTGCTTGTGTTGTGGTTATTGCAAACATGATGTCTTGTATAAAGGTGTCAGCAGTTTTTGTACCAGATGAAAGGGTAAAAACCTATTGCTATATTTTGCCACTGGTAATGGAGGTCTCAGTGTAAAAGTCACAATATTCACCACAGGGCGACCCACTGGCCTCGTACCACAAACCTCATCAACAAACAGGAAACACACTCCCAGCGGGCCAGGTCTGTCACAGACATGCAGTGCCAGCCCTATGAGTCTAATGCCGAATAAAGCGGGATCCTCAATTTGGTATACAAGCGCGAGCAGTCGAAAGGATACAGGTCTCAATGTTTGCGCCGACGATGTACCCAGCGACGTCAAAGTTGATGCGGATGAACTTCCCCTGTGAAAATAGTAATTTAAAACAACACACACATCAGAGGGCAGTTTATAAGTGTCAAGGCAGAGAGCCAAAAATATATGACCTTCAAAAGAGATAATATATAACTACTTCAAGCTTTTATGCAAATGACCTCCCTCACCACTATTTCTAGGTCTTATTTCAAGTAATGTAGATAAGGGGCCATCCATAAATGACGTCATGCAATATTCGACTATTTTTGACCCCCCCCCTCCCCTCGTCACACGGCGTCACAAAAAGTCAGACCCCCCCTCAAATATGACATCACAAAGCTCTGCCCCCCGCCCAAAAATACAACATGCTTCAAATCGCTTTAAACTATTGTCATTTTAGTGCGTATTTAATGTGGCGCTGCACTCTGATGTTGTAGGAGAAAACATTTATCAAAAAGTATATTTAATTAAGTAGAGCGTGTCGTCTATATTTATTCAAAGTTGCGCATTTTTATGTGACGTCACATTTCTCAACCCCCCCCCCCTCGTCACACATCGTCACAAATGTCTGACCCCCCCCCCCTAGCTGCGTGACATCATTTATGGACTGCCCCTAAGTTAATTCATCAGATAAACTTTATCGCGTATGTAATATTCTGTGATTAAATAAACAGCTTTAAACTCACTATGACTGAGAAATTGGTTTAACCCCAATTCTATAAAATGGAGCTAAGAACCAAGTTATTGGAAATACTGGGTCAGAGGGCAGAAATGGCCATTGAGCCATAGACCCAGGAACTTTAATAAACCTGCTGGTGCAGTCATCCAACCTGGCTGTTGGGACTGGCTCTTTCTTGAGTAGTTCACAAGGATTGAACCTAAGCTGACACAAGGGGAATATCCTAAATATACCACGTGCCAGGGCTCAACCCCTGCATCTCAGATAGTGATTTTTCATGCCAACACCCAACATCTGGGCTTCGACCCAGTACTCAAGAAATACTGGTGCAGAGCTGTAAAAATCAATCACAGACCTCCTAAGTCAATGTTACTTTAAGCTTATAACACATGTAGTACACACCCCAACCGTAGGAAAGGCAAAGGTGGTACAGTACAGCCCTGCGAATTCTTACTCATACTACTGCTGGCAGAAGGGCCTCCACTTGAGAAAAAGCCCCTTGAGAGAATATTTTGGCCTACTCTTCTACACTGCCTTGAAAGAGGTTGACATACCCCAGCAAATGCAAACTGACAATTAACTAACTGTGGTGTACCTACCCATTAATACTACAAGGTGGACAGAGGCACGGGGATTTTAGAAATATTTCCATTGTTTGAATTGCAGCACCGGGAGATCGAACCAAACCAGCGAGCAGCCACCCACTGGAGGCCAGGCCTCCACTTAATCGCTCTGCGTGTAGAAGGAGGAGCCGCAGCTCTGCTTACGAATCGTGAGGAGTTGTCGTTCTTGACAGTCTTCGCGTTGCCAAACGCTTCCAGGATGGGGTTCGCTTGGAGTAGCTGCTTCTCCAGTTCACCCTGCATATGTATTGAGTATGGGTGTTTGAATGTGTGTGTATGTATGTATGTATGAGTGTGTATACGTATGTGTGTTGTGTGTATTCAAGTATGAGGGGTATGTACGAGTGTGTTTTGGCAAGTGGGAATGTTTACGAGTGGGTCATTGTGCACGTGCGTAAATGTTCATGTGTGTGCGCGCATGTGTGCGAATAAGGTAAAGTCGGTATAACGTGTAAGTATATATAAGAGTATGTATGCATGTGCGAAAGTGATTGTTCATGATTGTGGGTTGAGAATATGATCATCAACAATGAGCGTTAAGCCACAAAAACAAAAACAACCATCACCACCACTTCTGCAGAGCAATCCCGACAGCAGAAATGTATTACACATCATTCCAATATCACAACCTGACGGTGGCAACAAAACTTCACACAACCTACACGCCAGAGCAGCAATTGGTACCACATAAGGTGGCACAACGTTAGTGGCACCAATTTATTCATCTGTCCAATGCAAGTGAATTATGTGATAACCCACTCATTTAAAAAAAAGATTATCACATCATTCTCTTTCATTGACCGTGCAAGGAAATTGATGCCACTAAAGTATTGCCACTGCAGGTGGCACTGGCACGTGGAATATACCGTCTGGCCCCACTAACCATCATGGGAGAAGCCCACACCACATTGCAAGCCTCCAGTTGCAGGCTTTGTACATTGTAGCAACAATTCTTAACCTCCAGGGCTTAATGAACACACCTCAATAAAGCACACTTGAAGCCACGGTTTTCCCAAGCGCTGTTCCTTGAAACACTACGGTACACCCTTTCGAGTTTACCAAATTTGCATCCTTCCAAATATATGGGTCAATGCATACTACATGGTCCTGATGCTTGCAAAGTACGTTACACGTGATGCAGAGCGCATGGATTAAAAAAATGTCATGCCATTTTTACAAAAACTATTTAGCGGAGGTTTACGCAGTTGTATTGTATAGCTCTCCGATGTGTGTTCAGGTTGTACTGTGTTGCTTGGCATGATGTTCGTCGTTCCGGTTAATGTACTTCAGTTCCTGAATAAGTTCCCAAAACTTAACATGTCGGCTTTTGCGGACAATATTATCATTCAAAATACATTTTTGGTTCAGATGAATTGGCTATGTTGAGTGGAGGGTTTAGGGTACACATTTTACTTAACGTTATCAGACCCAAAAATAACTTATGAATCAAGCCCCAAAAACGGAGCCAAACAACATATGGTACAACTCAAAAGATATCGGTGAGCTGTCTAACAATAATGTGAATTATTCATCCAGGAAATCCTTATTCAGTTTGGACTTTTTCATGAGGATCCTGTATTGGGATATGCATGTGTAGATTTAAGTGCGAGTCTGTGACAAAGTGTCGATTTAAATTAATCGGCATTCCCTATTTCACGTAAGACATTGACACATGCAGTATCTTAATGACTTAAGTTGTATTTGAATGAAGGCAATATTGGTAACTCAGAAAGATGCAATATGGTGGTGTCTTGAGGACTGGCATTTGGGAACCCTGCTTAAAAGCCTGGAGATCTGAGCATTCAATTGAGATTCTCAGATACTGGAATTTAATCTTGTTTACAAATCTCCCCCCCCCCCCTTTGTACAAATCAGACATCGTGTGGTAGTGTACAATCTGATCACTTGATTTCTTTGACAAGGATGTTACACTGGCTCCCAATCTGTCACAGTGAGTACAATACACTATCAGGATATAATAATCCAAATGGGGGTTGTTGCAACCCATCACACCTTCAAGTATTATAAACTCAGTACCACTTTTAATAAAATGCTTGCCTATGGGAATGTGAAATCTCCAGTACTGGCTCTTGGCTGTCAACAAAATTAGTGCTGCCCTGCGATTTTTTATAGCGGGGAGATGTTCTTTTTTTAAAACTGTGGATTGGAGGTTGTACATTACGATCAAGATGAAATGAAAATTAAAATTCGAATGTCTGTAGTAACTGTAGTAAATACAGTCTTGGTCAATTCCAGAGTACAGGTGTGCATTGTGTAGATTGGTTTGTAAATTAAAAGCTGGATGCCAAGAATCATAACTTAAAATATAATTGCTGCTCTATAGAAACATCACATGCACGTTTCTATACATAAAACATGCACATTAACAAGAGCAGCAATGTACGCAGACCCACCACTACACATGCACATGCATGTACATGGCACCTCACCAATGCCATGCCTGAGCCAATGCCCCTCACATTCTTTGCCTACAGCTTTAGAAAATGATGTTAGGTTTTTGGAGATATTACCAAGAGATCGGCATGTGTGGTTTAGGGAGTAGCATTAAAATAATTTGTCATGAGTTCTGGGATGCCTTGGCTAATGGGAAAAATGTTAAATAGTGGCCAATCCAGTACTTGCATAGTTTCTTTTAAATAAACATCTTTCTTAACTCGAGCCAACAAGCAGGGGAAATTGTATATTGTGTATTTACTTTAAGTGTAAGCATAACTATGTGTGAAAAACCAAATTGTCTATTCCAGATGGACATTTTAGACACATTGTTGTTACCAATTATACCCTAGTCTTTCTATTCCATAATTGTAACATAAGTCATGGCAAGAGCTGAATAAACGGCCTTAAAAAAAACCCTGGCCATTCAGACAAGCCTCACATGTCAGAGAATAGGGACTAAAAAAAAACAACAGAACTATTTTGGAAGGGAGTCACAATGATGCCTCTCTCATCCGGCAGTGGTTCACAACGTGTCAGTCATCCAAGAATTAAAAATGTTAGCACTTAACACTGTACAAGGCCAAATTAAGTAAAAAAAAACATTAAAAGGCAGTAAATTCTTTGTGCAGTTGTAGGTGACCAGGCAACTTGATGGACTCCACGACTTAATCTCAATTAATTACACTTGCGTGCCTGGATTCGAACCCAGGCTTGCAGAAGTGCGCTGGCTCAGTGAGTCAACACAGCCATTGTGAATCCCATGAGACACCGAGACACCTCGAGGGAAGATGCTTTTCCAATTTGCTTAGATACCATCCAAGATCTAAAATTCCTCATCTCTGTTTGCCTGGAAGGAACCCAGAATTCCACCCTCCCCCTTTGCCACTTGTATTCCCATGCCTTGGCTTGAATCCCAATTTCCTGGAACTTAAATTTCAAGATGCTAAGAAGCTCCATGTATATTTGGAACAACTTTAGAGAGTATATTTTCTCATTGTATAGAATTGTATCTTATTATGTTTGAGTATTAATGTGATAGGACTTTTGGGTGGCAGATTTGTGCCATAAATGTGCCACGTGTTTAAGCAAAAAAAAACAATTGACTTGGACTTGTCCAAGCACCAAATGTCCAAACTAAAGACCCCATTTCCTTCCTCAGGGCCCCTGTGCCGCCTCTGGTCTGAGTTGTGGGTGTGGTGGGCGGTGAGTGCATGGACAATGGAGACTAATGTTACTGTACAAATATGAATGCCTTGCACTGGCAAGCCATGCTGACACAGCAAACATGAGTAAATGGAATATGTATCTCGCGCTCTCTGAACAAGGAGTGTAAAGCGCCAACCATCCCGTATAAACCAACTTTGTTCAGCTCATTAATATATAAGAAATAGATATTTAGTTTCATTTATGTTTCCAAAATGTGGAAACGAATTAAATGAGAGCTTAAGGACGAGATGTTTTCTTCATTTCGGGAAGGCTGGCATATGCTTCACAGTGGGGTTATATCCAGGTAGTCGTCATTCGATTAAATAATTATTCATAAAAACTCTCACAATAAGTGAACTGCTCCACTGAGTGAAACACACCCATGACACGCAGGCATGAGGTGTGAAGCATCAGATTTGGGCTGTACCACTGTCATCGTAAATGGGGAGGTTTCCTTTAATTTTTTTCTTAAGATAAATTTCAAAGCCACCTGGATAACCCCTTATAAAAATGAAATGGATGGCAGTTATCAATAATGTTGGCTGATCCATTTTACAACTCACTGGAATTATAAAAAATGTTCAAATTATGTTTTTTCTGTAAGTTTCATAGCAATCGTTTTAAGTAAATTACGAAAAATAGAGACATTGATAGACCAGTCAATTGTATAATGTTACTAATGGAGGCAGGCATACATGATGAAGCAATGGGTATAAGTAATAACAAAACATGGCACAAATACATCAAACACGTGTACACACAGCATTGGATATGTGCATGAATACACTCCCACTGCAAGCATTTTTTTTAAAAGCGTGTTTAACTATTTCATGAAATATTTGTTTAAATCGTCATTGTGCATGATAAGGCTTTTTGATAAATTATATTATTAATGGTTTCTTAATTGATTGAACAATAGCTGCCTACCAATTAGTATTTTATTCCTCTATTTTTAGTCATGAAGAAAAATCACAAAAATCATATATATACACTACTCCCAGCCAGGTGGCGCTGGATCAAAGTATTCGACTTGCAATCATAAAACAGATGTGGGTCTACTTGGTCTAGAAAACGAGATACACGTTGTCGGAAGTCAATAGTGGTCGTACTTTGGGAAAGACTGGCTCCTGGCATAGGAATGTCGAGTTGTTACCACAGCCTCTTAGCAAATAATGAAAATGAGTGTTGTCCATGTTCGCAGGGACACAATGACGGTTTTCAATTTTGCAACACACTATGAATGCAGTGAGCTCAGTTCGATTCCCGGCAATGGCTACAATCTGATATCTGAACTGGTTCTAGGTCCCCACATTCAACAACCCTCGTTGACCAACATGGTGAAGTATGGTCAAACGATCCCCATGACTGACAATCCAGTGGTAGATTTACAGAGGGCTGTAAAGTAGTCTATCTTTAGATGTATGAAAATGCATTAAATATATTTTATCAATAAAATAATGTATTCACCCCTGGAATATAATGAAAATACGTGTAACACTTTAAAGCTATATATAATATCAATAGGTTAAGATAAAATGATTAAATGAATGCAAATATGGTTATGTTTATCAACTATCAATATTAACTCAAATTTGTTATTGAATAGGGAGGAGCTTCAAACTAAAGTCTAGATATCCATAGAAGCACATTTTTTTGCTTTAAATGCAGTGGGAGGGAGATGGAATGATCAGAACAAAGCATTGTTGTCCAACAGGGCAGTGAGGCTAAACTCAGGACAGTGACTGCGTGACCCAAACAGTTACACAGTTCGTTTTAACTGCAAGCTATGAGAGCCCATTGGGCAAATTTCTTACACCAGTTTGCATAACATTCATGTGGTTACAGCTATAGCTGTCCAGCAATTTCCTGCCGCCCATTATTGTTACTAATGATACTAAAAAAATCAGTGTCATGCTTGCTGTTAGATGGAGAATTTAAGATCCTGTGGCATTACTCATTAGAATAATTGATTGTGTTCCAATGTCATAATCCGTAATGCAAATTTAGCTAAGTGACAACTACATTTAAGAAATGGTCGTTTTTTTACAATCGGTTAGACATTTTACTTAGACCATATAACTTGAGATTGAAACCCCAGGATCTCCGTGGTGTTGGGCTCAGTCCTCGAACATGGCTTCGAAGAGAGCCCGCCCTTTGAGGTGCTCTGCCATTTTCATTCTTACTCAATTTTAAAAGTTGGCAACAGTCAAATTTTTTAAACTATGTTAAGAATCCAGTTAGAGACTCAATAACCTCAGCACAGAAAAAAATTGGCATGTAGCACACTCGGCTGGTCAAGGGTGGCCTGGCTAAAAAAAATGTAGATAAAAACCTCAGCTCTCGTTGGAATTTGAAAAGGTTAAAAATAGGAATTTAAAAAGTTAAGCACTTCGAGGCAAAAAGACTTGAACATCATTCTTCTAAGCATTTTTTAAAAATGTGCCTTCCCTTATATGGTCACGCAGTATCACAGCCAGGAAATCATCACTGCTGTGTGGTGTTGCAATGAAAAGCCATATGAAACAATGTGCATGCAAAGCGGATCGTGCAAAGCATGTATGGAGTCATGCATGGAATGGTTTGGTGTGGTTCTGGTGGTGATGGTATGGCTGTTATATAACACATTAGGTTGGCTTTACGACAAAATACCTGGTTATATCATTCTTTTATAACTGTTTGACAAGCTGTTTTTCATTTAATGTTCGTACATTTGCAATATATTTTCTGGGCAAAAAACTACGAAATATTTAAAAAATCATTAAATTATCTATTTTTATGTGTTTTTAATGCAGGGAAGTTTCACTGAGAATGAAGTTTACTTTTTGGAAGGGTGCTGCTTGCTACGTTTGTCCAATTCCTTGTGGCCTAATTTTGCACATGGGAGAAAACTAGAGAATCCGGAGAACACCCAAACATGAGATAATCAAAACATATCCAAACAGGTCAGCAATCTATATGCTGCACTTGCTCATGGCACAAGCCAAAAATCGAACCAATAATCTGAGAGATTGGGACTCTAAAACACTTTACATTGTTTTATGATCTACCAATGAGAATGTTTAAAATTCTCGATTAAAGAGTTACACCACTGATTAACAATTAATAATTACTGCTGGATATGCAGCCATGTGCATTTGCAGAGAAAACTCAAAACTGGGAGGTTACAAGTTCAATTTCTAGATGGGTGGGGGGGGGGGGAACTTCCTATCATTCATCCAGGGTTCACAATAAGAGAACCACTTTGTTGGAAGTCAAAAGTAGTGATCCTATGGAGAGAGTTCTCCCTACCACCACAGGAATATGGAATTTCTATCACAAACTCCGAGCCACCGGATAAGATGAACAACATCCTAATACTCGTTAGAGTATGCAGACCCTTTAACTTGACCAAACTGAACAATTATCATCAGAAACAAAGTAAAGCTTTTTCAGCATTTTCTTTTGCTTTGCACTTAACCTTCGACACTGCAGTAAAGCCAACCTAATGGTATTGTCAAATGGTAAATGTGCATGTGTGGGTGGGTGGGTGTGTGTGTGTGTTCCGCGGCACAGGAGCACTGGGCATATGGTCTACTCACAAACGAAATCTCCGCTTTCTGCAGCAACGTTGGGGGTTTGTTGGGGAGGGGGTTTGAGAGAAGTGAATCGACACATTGCAGGGCACACGGAGATTTGAAGTAACGGCGTCAGCGGCGGTGGGCGATGGGGAGGAGGGTTGGAAGATAAAAATTAGCACAATTCGTCAACAACAACAACATCATCCGTAACCATCAAATGAACTTAACGAATGGTGTGATTTAAACTTGGATATTTGGCATTAGATTGCTAGCCTGACCAATAAATGTTATTCCGAATGAGCAAACGCCCATCCAAAGAGGAGGACTCGTGTAATGGAAACTGCATAGTTAATGAACAGGAATGCTAATCAGTTGAATTCATTAGACTTTTACCGCTAGGGAACACACAAAAGGGGTTTGTTGTAATCTTTTATGTTGGTTAACTCCGTGCATGTCAAAAAAGGTCAAAGGTCAACAAATGTCATCGTTTTCCAAATTTGATGATCAGTCTGGTTCCAGTGAAGCCACATTTGATAGTATCTGTGAGTATCTGTAGATACTTAAATATACATTTTTATCCATGTCTACTCAACGTCGCGATGTGCTGCGGGAATGAGTTACCCACAATGTAGTTTTCACTCTTGATTAACGGTTGTTAAATGGGTGGCACATTGCGCAATAAACTCAATGAAGGTTTAATTGATGATTCTCACAGCGAACATCAGTGGAGAGTGATTTCAGAATCAGCCCCCCCTTCACCAATCTGCACTGACAGGCATGAAGTACAGTCAAACAACCTTAATGACTGAGATCCTACGGGTAAGGGAGGTCTTTATCCAGCAGTGAATCCAGCAGTGTATTGAAAAGGGTCTCAGGATTATTCTTAATGTTGATTAAAAGGTCTTTTTTTAATGTTTGCCAATTAATTAAATTATTTAGTCTCCATTGTGCAATACAAAAACTAGTGGCTGCTGTCAAGAAAACACAGGCGAACAAGATTTAACTTTAACATTTCATTACATTTCCACTTAATCATGAGTTTGCTTCATTTTCAATAGACCTTCCTGTAGAGGGAGCAAGTGTTCAATAATTGAACGGCACACCCCATGTGATGAGGATGGACCAATGGAAAGCTTTTCGAATTGGTTCTAAATACACAAGACAAATTTAGCTTGATAAACAATCCAAATTGTTGGAATTTTTGGGTAAATTGGGAATAGTCTGGGATACATCTGGGGAGAGCTTGAGATGAATTATCAGGAGACTTTAGGGCAATATTTATTTGAACGTTGGGCAAGTTTTCAACGAGTCTGGTTTGGATTTGGAGACCGTTATGATGAATTTGGTATTAATAATAATGCAATTTATAACTCGCACAAATTTGCGGACGTAACGGCTGCAACTCAGAGACGCGGAGCCAAGCTCAGAGTCGCTCGAAAGCGACTCTGAGCTTAAAGCAACCTTGGTGTGAGTTTGGAGTGTCAGATGAGTTGTGGTAAAATCTATGCCAGTTCGGGGCGAGTGCAAGGTTGGACTCACGGGAGCACCATGATCCTTGCGTCCTTTGTGCGAAGAGGCGACGTGAGCCAGGTACTGGATCACCTTCTTAGTGTTTTCAGTTTTACCTGCACCAGACTCGCCTCTGCACACACGCGCACAGACACACACACACCAATACACCTCATTAACCTTGCCAGTCTGCTCAGCCTATCAATGTCAGTGAGCTCTCGTTATTCTTGATACAGTTCGTTGTCCTTCCCCTGCACCTCCGATGAACACGGTTGGCTACGTACAGTGTGAAAGAAATTCAATATAATAATGATAATTGGTTCTTTACCCTTCTATCTGGCAACAAAACTGACACTTTTTTACAAGGAGTCATGTTTGCATAGACCGCAATACCTGCAGTCATAATACAAACAAAAGAACATAACTCTGATAATGTGCACTGTCCTTATGTTCTTTTATGTTATGTTCTTTTGTTTGTATTATGACTGCAGGTATTGCGGTCTATGCAAACATGACTCCTTGTAAAAAAAGGTGTCAGTTTTGTTGCCAGATAGAAGGGTAAAGAACCAATTATCATATTTTTACTGGCAAATGAGATTTCCATAGTGTAAATTCAATATACTTACATAGATACAAGAGTGTCTCAGGTCAGTGCCACGTACGACTTTTTCGGTGGTGATAGTGATGATACCATTAGGGCACAGAGACCTATTCATTCTAAGGCCGAGCTGACCTATCATGAGCATGAGATTTTAATCAATATACGAATCAATGCATCGTAACATGCCGAGCACTAAGCATAACACCACTATTCCACATCTTCATGCACATAGCCATATACATTTTTATTTAAGCTGGGAGAACCCAATGGCTAAAGCTGCTTAGCAATGGTGGAATATCACAGAGGAAGTGAAGCATACCTACACGTGTACAAGTACACATGGATGTACCAGCAAACGCACGTGTTCATGTATGAATGGGTCGATGTACACGTGCGAGCTTTTAACTAAATGGCACATAATTGAGCAAACATTACATCATAAACAAATAACGTTTTTTGAAACCACACAATTACAAACAATTACAATTTTCTGGCAATCAAAATATTTAGCTGAAGAGATATTAATAGCACACGAGAAAGCGCGCTTGCAAGTTTAGGGAGTTAGTTGCTTCCGAGAAGGTATAAGAAGGCCATGGATAGGTATGGATTGTGTTACTCTTTCCCACGTGCATTTGTCCTCAGAAATATTTCACGAGCAAAGTGGAAGCAGACAGGTTGCGGTCAGGGCAAAATGCATTTGCATGTCCGCAAATACAGTGGTCCTTTTTGCTCCAGATTATCTCTCCAAGTTTCAAGCAACCCTTGAATACATTTGGCCTCAACTAATACAACGTTATGTTTCAGTTGCATTCACGTTGCATCATCTTTACACGAGAGTTATAGTGTCACCCTCCCCATTACGGAAACACCGAGCTAATGCACAAATGCACAAATGCACAAATGCTTACAACTCTCGGTTGGAAAGCAGTAAAAAAAGGGTAGCGTGAAATGCTGCTGGTGTGGAATGCTGTAGTCACTGGAGGACCGGCATCCTCGACAGCGGGGAACAAGTAGCAGATGTAACTGTGGCGTGGCTCTGAAATAAGCAAGCTCGTGAGTGGGGTGTGAAGCTCCTGAATGGGGTCACGTCAATATTTAAATGTTGTGAGTACACATCTGAAGAATAACAGTTCTGTACAGAAGTCAGCGAGGCTCCCAGATGTAGACTATTTGGTTCGCTGTTTGAACTTTATTTGACGTTTGGGCTTGTGTATAAACACATATACATATAGAACGTATCGGCTAGTATAGAATGCTTAGGCATAACCCACACACCTCTCACTCATCATCAGCCATGTCACCAATCTGTCACCATCCCTGAGTCCTATAAATTAACAATCAATCCAGCACCTGCCTCAGGACTGATCTCATTGCACCATTTCCCAAGTGGATGTCCACTTGGGCATGTTCCCTCTCCTTTGGCTGACACAGGAGATATAGTTTCGACCACTGGTCATCATCTCTTCTAAAAATGAGTCCTGTTAAAGCATACACTTCTCCACACTAATTCTAGATTTGAAGCTTTCGTGACTGCAAGGATTCACTCTTAGTTTTTTCGGTAAAGTCACGTAGGTAGAAAATGTAAACAAAAAGAAAGAGCAAAATCTATTTATTTAATACTGATTTATTTCTTTATTATTTGGTATTAATTTTATTATTATTTTATTTTTATTTCTCCACACTACTTTGTGCACTTGTCAGGATTATTGCATTTTCTTTATCGATGTTAGGATATCCGATTCCTTGTCATAGCAAGTAACATACAGTGATTAAACTGTTCTTCTATAGGCACATTGGCATATTGACTTTCATTACATCTCAGTAACTTGCCCTATTATATTATGCAAATATATCTCAGCCATCAAAACCACACTTATCTGATCACATCTACACAACACTTCCTTGGGAGGTTATATTCCAAATTTCCATGTAGCTTATTCTATCCTTCCATGAACTTCCCATCATCCTCCGCAACTTAGTTTCTCATAGTTGCTTGCCAAATGCTCTGCCAAAGTATTAGCCCCCTGAACCACCCTCATATAAAGAATGACCATGTGGTTCATGTTAGGGTATTGCAACAATGCGCTCTAAAAACATGTTCAATCCTCCATTATAGCCATTGTCTTGACAAATTGGCACGGACTTTTCATTTGACATGAAAAATGTGTGTAATCAAAGTGCTGTCAAAATCCTGGCAGGTGCATTCTATAAACAATGTTACATTTTTCATAGGACTTGGATTGAAAAGCTGAGTGGTGAAAAGGGACAACATTTTCAAATGAGGCTGCTATTCACTGAGCGGATGCCTGCTTCAGGACACTGAACCAGAAAAGCCAGATCCAATCTAGGATTAATCATTCAATACAAGACGTTTCTCATGTGCTTCTATATTACACCAGCTTCGTGTATGTTAGAGATCATCGCAGAACAGTGTTAGCTATCCTTAACGCAAGTGCCCAATAATGGTTATTCTGTGCCGACATCTAAAGACGGTGAACATAGCACACCACAGATGCTGGCAACACCTCACGACTACAATAATGATTGCCTGCTGTAATAGGCGACATTGCCATTCAAGGCTGCCGATACTGTGCATGTTGGCTTTAAAATCCCAAATCAATTGCGGGCTTGATGTCATTTATACATGGTGTTCATTTGATGTTTGTTGTAGGCATGCCTCTAACATCCGCAGTTTTCCACAGTTTGTAAAAGAAAAATGTCCAGTACTTTATTATAATCAACTGCTGGATGACAGCCTCTCCATGTGGTTATATCATTCATGGGAGTTGTTGGACCATTCTGGTCAGTGCAAGTGCAGGCTGGTGAAGAAGATGGGGATCAGGAATGGACAGTTCTAATTCAGAGGCCGCCCTCATTATTATTAGTATTACGTGTGTAATAAGCATGGTAATGTACATCTTCTACTTCACAGTAGACATTAGAGATGCCCTGATGTAATTTGCAAGAGTGGGCCATTAGTATTTCCACATCAGGGTCCAAACTTTCCAAATGAGAAAATAACCTGCAAATTTACTAATAGGGTTTTTCCCCTTTTTTCTGGCAACAAAAAACTGACACCTTTTGCAAGGAATCATGCTTACATTAACCACAATCCTTGCAGTCAAATGCAAACAAAAAACAATATTCTGATAATTTATGCATTGTCTTTGAAACTGATTGGTCCACACCAGAGACAGCTTTCTTTACGCCAAAAGGCGTCATCTGGTCGAACACCATATGAGACTAGGCTCTAAAGAAAGCTGTCTCTGGTGTGGACCAATCAGTTTCAAAGACAATGCATAAATTATCAGAGTATTGTTTTTTGTTTGCATTTGACTGCAAGTATTGTGGTTAATGTAAGCATGATTCCTTGCAAAAGGTGTCAGTTTTTGTTGCCAGAAAAAAGGGGAAAAACCCTATTAGTATAACCTGCAAATTGTTAGATTGGGACTACACACAGCAATCATTGCACCCCCCCCCCTCCTCTACTGGCAGACTAATGAATCAGGTTACTTTTGGAAATGAAGACTATTCTTGCCTTTTAAGTTTTCACCTGTATGTATGCATATTCAATTCATTTATACCGTGCATAGCCAACAATGTTAATCGGAGGTTAAACGAAAAAAATAAACTTGTTTCTAGATAACTCCCACTTTATGTTTCTTACATAGGCAAAAAATACTCAACAAGGATTTGGCGAAACATCCGAAGCACTTAGGACCTTGCTGAAAAATTGTCTTGAGACTTGGTAAAAGCATTCCATGATAAATATAGAAGTCATGTCATCATCATTTATAGGACAAAAACGATTTTTTTCCAACACTGTAAATTACAGCTTTCACATCAAGGTCAAAACATTACTTTACTCGGTAAAATAATGGATGCTTGGGAAATTCGTAGTTTGGACTAAGAGGCCTGACGCAAGGTTTTGATTGCAAGGGTGTTTAATGTTGCCTAAATCGCATCATTATCCCCAGCTGATTATATTTGTCCATATGCAGTATATTTGATGCAGCTGCTCCCTTCCAAGACTAGTTCATGCAAACATCGTTCATATCAATAAATAATGAGCGTGGGAGGAGGGAAAGTGAAAAGAGAAGATTACATATTTGGAACAGATTCAAAGCAAAGTAAAGGAAACATAAATATTTCAGCGCTGGTCTTTTGCAAAAGCATTTGTGCATACATATGCTAAATAAGTTGTACGTGCACACTAAACTCATGTACACATTTATATACACATTCAAAAATAGAGATGGTTCCTTTTAAGGCATAACTAGAGTTGGGGATACCTGTACTGTATTGTCAGCAAGCACCTATTACGGTTGCCACAGTAGTATGAGGGGGTAGTGTGGCCAACAGCATACCGAGCCACCTTTGACACTTAAATGCTGATGTCTATAGGCTGCACCTGGTATACATTTAGAAGAGACCCAAGCCAGGCTCAAATAGCACTATTATACAGTGGTGTCATCACCATTGAATGTGCCAGGCTAGGTGCACTTTGAGATCAAGTGGCCAAACACACGAAT